AATTATCTTCAGGGCGTAAATGACTTACGGTTCAGTGCCTATTCTTTTTATGCCCTTGGGGGCTTTGCTGCATGTCTGATTTTAAGGAGTTCACCTTAAAATCCCCTTCACCCCTCTGAATTGTTATCAGTTTTTTCCACGTTGTGCCTTCTATGTCTCATTAATATACTTTGGAGGAGGGTGCACTTGCACATGGACTTCATGACCTTACGTTTGCACTAAACGAGCCTCCAGCTTTCCCTGGATCTCCCTGGTTTCACAGTCTGTGCATCAGGGATCCGATGAGGGGCCTGGCCAGGTGGGCGCAGGCAGTTACTCCCAAGCAGGAGGGGGACAGGGTGGGTGAGCTGGACTGGACCTCAGTGTCATGGCCCAGGGAGACGTTGGGCTTTCAGGCATGGGAGGGACACGTGGTGAGTCCTGTTTCCACAGAGGGGAGTCTCGCAGCTGTAAGTCCCACGGACGTGGTTCTGGACGTTGCAGGAAGGTTGGGAAGTCAAAGAGATCCAGGAAATAGGGGAGGTGACTTTAGCCCACGTGTAAGGTCACGAAGTCTGGGTGTGAGTGCTCTGCCGGGGTGAGGAAGAGAGCAGCCTGGAGATACCGTGCAGCAGGGAGAGGCAGCGCGTGGCCGCAGGCTGCCTTCTCCTCGCACGGCGTGGCGCGGTAGTTAGTGTGCACAGTCACCCCGGTCATCGTGAGACCGTGACGGCTCTCTGAATTACAAAGTGAGGTTTCAGTGGTGTTTACCACAATGTGTGGAAAAGGTATTTTATACTGTCTCAATCCTTTGACACTTGGTTACCCAGATCTATGGCCAGGACAGTGCTCTGAGCTTAGCCGGTCCTGCAGATGAAGGTTCACGGTCCTCTCAGATTGGACTCCGGACTTGAGAAGCTATAAAATACACAGGAGACAACTACGGTTTGTAAATTGTACTTGTCAGTAACGGTGCATCTGAACTTGACAGAACAACCAAGTTTCTTGTGTATAAAGTTCAGCCATTGAAGTGTTTGGGGTGAGAGATGTAATGCCTGTAACTTACTGTGAAATACATTGACTGAGGTGGATGAATGAATGGAGGGATAGGTGGACTGACATGTGATAAAATAAATATAGCAAAAGAACCTAGGTTAATTGCAGAATCCAAGTGGAGACGTGAGTATTTACCGTAAAATTCAACTCTTGAATGTTTGAAAACTTTTATAATAAAATGATGGGGGGCACCTCTGCTGTTTGTTCTGCAGACTGTAAAGACATGTCAGGTGCCTTCACGTTTTGTCTCAGACAATCCAGTGAAGATGACATCAGCCTCATTTTACAGGTGAGAAAACTAAGGTGCAGAAACATTGAATAATAAGCTTGAGGCCACTCAGCTAGTGGGATGAGCTGAGCCTGGAACCGAGGTCCCCTGATGAAGGAGAGACTGTGTTGGGGTAAAAATAACGCCCAGGCCCCATTGGTGATCATCTTTGGAGCCAGGCTCGGAGAAGCAGCCTGTTCAGAGAGGCGTGTGAGTCACCCGCCGCCACTCCTGGCACGCGGACGCGCCGAATCTGCCCACCTCCCTGCTGATTTCTTCGCCGGGTTCTTGTTCTAAAGCACGACTAGCACATCTGAGTGGGTCAGGACGATCTCTGAGTTGCTGACGTGTTACAGAAAGAAATCAGACTGAAGAGACTATGTATGCCTTCACATTAACTCCAATTACAAGTAATTTACTCTTTTTCTTTTTTTTTTTTTAAGTCCCTAACCTTACATATTTCCAGCTGCTCTGGCCCAGGAATACATCTTTATTCAAAAGATGTGAAATCCCCTGGCTGGCGTAGCTCAGTGGATTGAGCGCAGGCTGCGAACCAAAGCATTGCAGGTTTGATTCCCAGTCAGGGCACATGCCTGGGTTGCAGGCCACGGCCCCCAGCAACCACACATTGATGTTTCTCTCTCTCTCCTTCTCCCTCCTTTCCCTCTCTTAAAAAAGAAAAGGAAAAAAAGATGTGAAATCCAGAAAACATGCAGCTATCTGCAGAAGAAAAAACATTACAATAGCTAATTCATAAACGTTTTGGAAAAAACTAAATTCATTAAGCTGAATACTTCTGCAGGCTGTGCAGAGTGAGCGTGGGGCCAGAGCTCCCCACCTGAGGCCTCCTGGCTCTCCGAGGCCGCCTCTAGGTCCCCACGACCGGAGTGCCAGCAGTGGCTCGCCACCACCTGGGTTTCCTTCCCGGATGTCTCACTCGCACAGATCAGCAGGCAGAGCCCTCCTTGGATGAGCTCCCCCAAAGTGGGACAGGTCCAAAGTGTGCCCTCTGGTCCGGGAATCCCGAGTGGGTGCCTGCCCCTTTAACAGGTTTTCATGTCTAGGGGACCCCAGCTCTAAGGAACAGGAGAGAGAGAGACAGACCAGAGTGCTCTGAGGGAGAGAACACTCCAGAAAGAAGACCCAGTTAGGTGAAATGTTTGCTGTGCAGTAACCCCAAGTGGGACTTGGAAATGCGAGCAGAAACCTCAGAACGTGGGTTCAGCCCTCAGGTGGTGGGTCACTCGGATCCCTTTCAAAAGCCCTCCTCTGCGCGTGTCCTCACACAGAGCTTTGTTTTCCCTTAGCGCCCACTTCCTCTCCTCACCCCCCAACACACAGACGCTGCCTCTTCCCGTCCAGAGGAAACTCGGATCATCTCCCGAGCTCTGCCCCCCATGTCACTGGGAAGTGTCTGGGAAGTGCCGGAAGTGATCTGGGGCACCCCGGCCCCCCCACAGGAGCTGGCCGTGAGAGCTCCTCTGCAGGCTGCTGCCACCCCGGGCTCTCGCCACAACGATGGGCCCACTCGTGGGCTCCCAGGCTGTGCTTGTGCTTGACGCCTTCCCCACAGTCCGCCCCGGAAGGGCGCTGTTAGAGCAGACCTGCTGGTGACTGAGGAGAAGAGGGGGTGAAGCAGAGGCCACAGTCGGGGCGAGTGGTGCCTCTCCCCTCTGCGTGCGCCTGTGGACAGCCAGCAGAGGGGTGCAGGCAAAACCAGTGCTGCAGCTGGGGCAGCTGGAGGGCTTTGCACCTGCACGCCTGTGCTGGTAGGCGGCCAGCAGGTAGGGCTAAGTCAGGGCCTGGGTATGGCTTTTCCCCAGTGGGAGCCTGCTTGTGGGGGGTCCGGGGAGCCTCTGGCAGAAGTGTCGCCCACCATCAGCAGGAGTAGGGCTTTCCACCTGTGGGGACGAATTACACGAGAGACGGGCCTGACCCTGGTCACAGGGAAGGGCTGGTCCCCAGAGTGAACCCACGTGTGGTTGGCCAGGAGGGAGGGGTAGCTGAAGTCGTAGTCACGCAAGAGCAGGTGGTCTTCAGGGTGGCGTGCCCTTGAGCCAGGCGTGATGGAGCTCCACCTAGAGTCCCAGTGGAGCTCTGGGCAGATGGCTTTGTGATTGGGGCCAGCTGGCGTGCCGGGTGGCGGCCACTGCTCGAGGGACACTCCCATGGTTCATCTCCTTTTGTCTGGGCTCTTCTTCAGCCCTTCTTTCTCCTCCGTCCCGTCCCTGGGTCCCGGGACCTTCCCCTCACCTCTGCCGGCAGCTGCGGGGCTCTCACCCTCTGGATCCTGGGGCTCCCGCCTTCCACTTCTCCCACCCAAGAAAGAGCAGGCTTGGGGCCTGAAAATCCCAGAGGGAACCCAGATGAGAAGCTGGACCCCACAGCGTAAGAGTCCAGTAGATGATGATGATTTTTGACTTTTTCGTGGGAGAGTTCCAAGGAGGATGGCAGAGCGACATCAGTCATTACTCCCAGGCTGACACTGCCCGCTTCCGTCTGCGGTAGCGGGAGCTGGCGACGGCGGTGGTTAGGGGAGCGGGCCGCGGGGTGAACCTGAACATTCGTCAGTCAGGTGGAGAAATCCCAGAATCGGAACTGCTGTCCTAAAATCAACAAGAGCCAGAAGAACCATTTGGGAGCAAATGCATTGAAAATGTCAGAGAATCAGTATAACGCATGATTGGTCTCTCAGTAAAGATACTGAGACACAACACAGAAGCAGTAAGAAACGGTAGGAAACGTTAATGTGGCCAAGGACCTTTCTGCTGCACTCAGTGGCTGTGTCACAGAGAAGGAAAAGGGCACGAGGAGGCCCCCATCACCACGCTCGCTCGCTCGCTTGCTGCGCGTGAGCTCTGTGGCGGGGTGTCTGGATGCTTCACTTCCGCCGAGATTCCTGGTGCTGGGTCCTGCCCGTGGTGCTCGCCCGGTCTCGGCGGGCCCACAGTCGTCCTCAGTCCTGCAGGCCTGCTCTAGGCGTTCCTCCGGACCGGTGGGCGGTTTTGCCCGCAGAGCAGAGCTGCGTTAAATCGCCTGTTCCCCTGTTGCCCCCCTTTCCGGTACTGCCTGGCGCTTTGGGTCCAGCTGGGGAAACTCGTTAAACCTGGGGCACTGGGAGGCTGGGAGTGCGTGTGGGGAAGGGTTTCCACAAAGACCACTCTTGGCTGTCATCCTTTTATTTCGCTTTATCGTATTTTTTACATTGGTTTGGGGTGGGCATGGATTTGTGTTCCACCGTTCGTGCATTCACTGGTCGATTCTTCGTCTGTGCCCTGACAGGGATGGAACCTGCGACCCCGGGGGGTCGGGACGCCCTGTCACCCTGCTAAACTTGGGGCCCTAAGGGTGTATCGGTGGTGTGAGTGCCCTGGTAACGGTTGTCATTTGTCTGGTGCCAGCAGCCTGGGAATCTGAAGAAAATAAACGTATAAATAGGAACATTCCTTTCACACAATTACGACATTCCCTGCACAGCGCTCCCTCCCTGGGAGCTCCTGGGAGTCGGGGGGAAGCCGTGTCTTCTGGTGTCCCCCACACGCCCCTCTGGGGACCTGGGTTCGTTCTCTCGTCGGCTTCTGCAGCCAGCAGGCGTGATGCAGGAAGGTCTGGCTCTGCCCAGAAACTTCTTTGTCAGTGCAGCTCAAAGCAGATGATTTTTTAACACATTCTGCATTGGTGTTTCCTTGTTTTACAGTGGTTTGAGTCCAGCCAATGACACTGGAGCCAAAAAGAAGAAAAAGAAACAGAAAAAGAAGAAAGAGAAAGGCAGCGAGACAGACTCAGCCCAGGATCAGCCTGTAAAGGTAACGAGGAGGCTCTGTGTGCTCGTGGCTGAGAGTCGATTTCTCACGTGAGAGCCTTAGGGAGTGCATGTGTAGGGGCAGCTTGGATCGACAGTCCCCACGGGCACTACTTCAAGGTTGGAGGCGTTGCCGCCCTCTGTCCCCCTAAGCCCAGGTGACGAATCTGTTCTTACACCTCAAGACACGGCAGGTCAGACACTCGCTCCCAAGCACGGTGTCCCCTGAGTGTGCGCAGGCCCACCCCTGCAGGTGGTGCTGCGTGAGGGGCCAGACGGAGAGGTGAGTGACTGCGCTGTGCAGTCCCGTGGCCTGGGGCCGCGGTTCCCAGCCCTTCGTCTCACGCCCCCTCCCTGTGGGAGCACAGGCCTGTTCTGGGTAAGGCGGACCCACAGGTATTGCTTGAGTTCCTTTACTGCAGTGTGAGTCTTTGTCACGAAAACCCTGGGTCTCCGAGAGAGTCACTGACCCACCCCAGTGTGTGACCTAGGACTCATAGACCTGAAACCCAGAGGCATGGGTAAGGGTTGTTTTGTTTTGTAAATAAAACTACATTAAAAAGAAAGAAAGCCTTTTATTTCAGGTAAGCACTGTCCTCTTTAAAGCAGGCCCTGGGGGAAGTTTAAAACATACCCACAATTCCTTTTTCCGCATTGCCTCCCGAGCAGTTTGTAAGCCGCACAAGAAAATCGGTCTCATTCTAGGTCCATACACTTGGCTTCATGCTCCAGCTTCAGTCTTCTTATGGAGATAGATGGGGCTTGAAGTAGCTTTTACTTTTGTCAACATCAAATCCCCTGTGAAAAAACTACCACCCTCACTGACCGCAGTGTTGGCTGGGTTCTTGCCAGGCCGGTATCCCTACAACGGTATTAAAATGAGAGTCTTTCCATTTTAAAGATGAGAGAGGTGGCCCACCCAGGTCTCTAGTCCGGAGTTCTAGTCCAGCTCGTGCTCTGGCTTGACGGATTTTTGTTTGGTCGGTCTTCTGTTTGTCTGCGGGCGGGCGTTGGGTCGTCCGGGGGAGTTTGAGCTCGATCCTGTATCAGAATGGTTCCCTTTGAAACGAGAAAATTTTGACAGTACTATTTACATAGCTCTTTCATTTTCCTTTTATAAGAGTGATGAAGTTCATTGTAGAGAATGTGGGGGGGAAACTTATCAAGAGGAAGAAAACTAAAATCAGCTGTAATCCTCTGGACGAAAAAGGGGCGCCACATTAAACCTGACACGCTCAGGGGAGGCCTGCATGGTGGGCCTCCCAGACTCAGACCCAAGTGACTCCACAGGAGGGTCCGAAGTGAAAACTTCCTAGCAAAAAGCAGGTCACAGCGAGTAGTCAGGTCCAAGGCCAGTGTCTCCCTGACAAGGTCGGTCTTTACCTTAACTGAGCCTTTTGTCTTTTTGCATCTAGATAACAATGGAAAAAATACCACCATTATTGACCGCAGGGTGGGCTAGGTTCTTGCCAGGCACCTCAGTGTCCCTCCAACGGTATTAAACCTTCGGGACGTCAGGGTGGTTTCACTCCACGCCCTCCCCACCCTTCCCCTCCCAGCCCTCACTGTACCAGAGCAGAGACCACAAGACCCCTCATTGTTGTTGTGGGTTTTATTGCTAACTGTCGTATACCCACAAATGTAAAAGAAGTGTGTGACTTTTCGTTTTACTTTTTATCCAGTCCCAGAGATTTCCCTGCTTTGCCTTCCCTGCGTCCCTAATCTAATTATGAATGGATTTCCTGTAACCCCATATGCTTCCTCCTCTGATTGTAATGTATCGAATAAGGTGCAGACCTGCTTTCTCTGGGGCACTTTCTCCGTTGAGATTTTGTTCCTTGCCCATTGTCCTCCGTTTGGCTCAGATGAACTCATAAAAATTCTCTACAGGCTTAAACATTTATTATGTCGACAGTCCTGCCTCCCAGGAGTCAGCAGTGTAAACATACTGGTTTATAACCTTCCTTCCCTTCATGATTTAACCAAAAAAAAAAAAAAAGAAGAAGAAGAAGTAAGGTATTGGAAAAAATTACGCATTTTTAAAAAAATTATGCATCTTTTATAATCATAAGCCTGACATGAGACCCAGAAGCCGTAAAGAAAACTTGACAAATTTAAACTTCTCTGTAAAAGTCAAAAGATAAACAGTAAACAGGGAAAATATTTGTAATACATGAGTCAGTCAATTTAAAGTAATGAAATAAGTTGGCAGTTCACAAAGAAAAAATATAAATGCTCAGTGTATGAAAAGATGATTAAATTCACAATGAAAGAAATGAAAACTAAAGCAATAATTTTTTTCCTCCTAGATTGGCAGAGATTAAGATTTGGCAAATCTAATGATAAGAGTCTGGAGAAACACATGCTCTCATAACACTATTTGTTGGTTTATTAACCACCAATTATAATTTCAAATGTGCGTATCTGTTGAGCCAGCAAGCCTCCTTTCTTAGACCTTATCCTGCAGGAGTTCATGTCCAAGTGAACAAAAATCGATGGACGAAGTTCACTGCAGCGTGTCTGCAACACTGAAGAACGAAACCGCCAAAATGCCCGTTGCTGGGGGTTGGCTACATACTCTGCGGCCCACGCACAGCGGTTAAGATGGGCAAGTGCGTGTGGCCACATGGAAAGGTCTCTCAGACACAGTGTTTGAAGAGGAGCAGCTTGTGTGTGTGTTTGGAACTTGCAAGCAAAAACATCTGAAATTATATCTGCCTCTTCTCTCTCTACTTCCCATATTAAGACAGTTGATGACAAGGATTATATTTGAGGGATGGGATTTTTTTTTTTTACCTTTTATGAGTATTATACTTTTCTGCATCGTTTGGAACTTTGCACTGAGCACGTAGTACGTCTGCCGTCACATCACAAGAAGGGGACAGACCCTGTAGGGAGCACCCACGTCATGGTGCTCTCTCCAGCTGTTGCAGCACGTGACTGGCCTCTGGGATCAGAACAGGAACCATTCCCCTGTGATTGATCAGAAATGCTTGTTAACAGAGTGGGCCTTTTCTCTCCCCAACTTTGTCCAGATGAACTCTTTGCCAGCGGAGAGGATCCAGGAAATACAGAAGGCCATCGAACTGTTTTCAGTGGGCCAGGGACCTGCCAAAACAATGGAGGAGGCTAGCAAGAGAAGCTACCAGTTCTGGGATACACAGCCCGTCCCCAAGCTGGGTATGTATGCGCTCTCTTCCCCAGTCACGGGGGCAGGGGCAAGGGGCGGGTCGTAGCTGTGCCGAGGGCTCCTCACTGAGTTTGTGGGGGAGGACAGTAGAGTCCTGGGGTGCCTTGGTTGTTTTTAGAGAATAGTCTTTTTTTTTTTTTTTTTTTTTTTAGGTTTTATTCATTTATTTTTAGAGAAAGGGAGAGAAACATCAACATGTGGTTGCCTCTCACATGCCCCCCAGCTGGGTGCCTGGCCCACAACCCAGGCATGCGCCCTGACTGGGAATTGAACCGGTGACCCTTTGGTTCACTCACTCCACTGCGCCACACCAGCCATGGCTAGAGGGTAGTCTTAAAAGTGCAGCGTAGGAAAGGCTATTGTTCAGGGACCTTTTCTCTGCACGGTAGCACACACTGATTCTAACACATAATGATTCTTTCGGCCCATCATCATTCAGTATAAATCTACGAAGAAAAATGATGCATTGGCACATGACAAGTGGGGATGTCTGCCCAGGGGTGTATCTTTTCACACAGATTTTGTAAAGAGACTGTCTTGTTTATCTGGGCAAATGTTGACTCCTGGAATGGCCAAGTCCCCAGTCTCTTCCCTTAGTCTCTTGCCAGTGCACCCTTACTAAATGCAAAGGAATTTGACATTTGGCTTAGCAGCGATGGTTCAACAGCTGGAATACCGTATGTAGGTTTGGTTGCCACCCCTAAGAAAGCGATAATGAACTCTTAAAGGCTGGGACAGGCAAAAAATCTGAAAGAATCTCAGAAGGGACTGGACGTAGCGGAGTTGGAGATGCCTCCTGGGACGGAGCCCCAGCTAACCTGGGCAGCTCACTTTGGGGGGTCCTGCTGACGCAGTTCCAGGAGCCACAGCTCCTGGCTCTGGACCCCCCGAGAGCCCCGCTCCCATTTTCTGTGACTGGGAAGGTTAGCACGTTGGAAGAATGCGTGTTCCGGCACCAACTGTGAGTGACTGTCAGGATGTGCATGTTACTGCTCCCGTCCAGAAACAGTGTGACTGGACAGTGTATTTGGTGGAGGAGAAGGAGGGGAGCAGGGCCAAAGACTGGTGAGGGACAGCTGTGCCCGAGGAGGTTCGTCTCCAGAGGTGGGGCGTATGCAGCACAGAGCCTCGCTACTAAAGTGTGGTCTCAGGCCAGCAGGGTGGCATTGCTTGAGGGCTTGTAGAGTGCAGACTCTTAGGCCCCGCTCCAGGTCTTTGGAATCAGAACCTGCAGGGGATTTGTGTCCACTGAAAGTTTCAGGAGCTCTGCTGTAGAGCTGTGCAGTTCTTGGACAGCTTAGTCGCAATCCAGAGATAAGCTGAGGTGCGTCCCCTGCAGGCAAAACACTGCCTGGAGCGCTATGAGCCGTGAATCAGCAAGCAGGCAGGCACTATTCCAGAACCCTGTCCCCAACCCATTGACCCTGTCTCTCTCGGGCTGCCCCAGGCACCTAGGTCCCAGGCCCACCAGCTAAGCCCTCCAGCAAGGCTTTGGGTCACAGTAATGCTGCTCCTTGGGCGTTACTAGTAGCAGGGCCCAGTGACCTCTCCCTCTAAAGGGGGCAGAAAGAATGCAGAGCCACACGCTGTGTCTCTGAGTGAAATGCATGGAGATTCATTTTTTGGTGACTGGCAGACATCTTAGTCCAGTTCTCAGATGGGGTTTGGTTTTATTTTTCATTGGAAATTTGCAAGTGGGTAGCTTAGCCCCATTTTTTTACAGACAGCGGGACTTGGCGATGAGGTGAGTTAGGTGATGGGTTTCTGTTCCTCTTCAGTCCAGTTACTCTTTGTTCTTCGCCTCGGTTTCTCCACTTGTCCTTGTAGAAGGTGCGGCTGTTCTGTTTTCAGCAGGTGGAGAGAGAGCCACGTGCTTGCTCACGGGGGCCCGGCACACTCGGGAGGTGCAGTGGGCCCAGTGCTGTTCGTGCCGCACGTGCCTGCGGTGCACGTGTGTGGACGAGCCCGCGCCCCGAGCGTCTCATCGGTCCGCCTTTCAGGCCCTCGGCCCGTCACGGAGGGTGCAGGGCTCCTCTGTGGCCGCGAGCCGCCGGCAGAGAGCGCCGCGGTTCAGCTGCCCGCTGGGCTGCGTGGCCGAGGTGCCTCCCTCGTTCTGCTCCAGAGTGCCCCCGGGGCTGTGTGATTTGTGGCTCCTTGCTTTATGTTTTCCACTGAAATGGGGCTAATGGTTTTAAAATACAGGCATTTCCAGTGGAACTGTGTTTTTAGCACTGCCACCTTGCTGCGAGAGTTGTAATTAGATTGTATTCCACTGAAGAGACCCAGAATTCTTTAGAAATTGAAAGTCATCCTAAATGCCCCATTAAAGGCTTTCTAAACAGCAAGTGTTTTGGGCTATGGAACAGTTCTGTGTGCTCCCAGGTAAAGTTTATACCTCCTTTTTCAGATCATGCCGCTGTGCTTTTTAAGTCACCTGTGTCCGTTTCCTGTGCCAGCTCTTGCCACGGAACTGGCGTGCTCTAGATTCCATGAACAGGTGGTGCAGGAGAGAAGGGGAATGCTTGTCGCACGCGGTGCCGGTCCTGTGACCAGCCCTGATGACAAGGGTTGGCCTGGAGATGATTGTAATGCAGCCAGCTGTGCGCCACATAGTAACCTTCTGATCAGCAGCAGGTCACGTGTGCGGCGGTGGGTCCATGAGACTGTGAGGGGCTGAAAAAGTTCCCACCCCCAAGTGGCATCGCCGCATGGCGAGTGCGGCTGCTCCTGTGCTGCCTCTTGTGTAAAGTGTAGTGCGTGCGGCTGCGTGTAGCGTGTGCAGCTGCGTGTAGTGCCTGATACTTGATGGTGGAGATAAATATCAGTGCTGCCGATTTCTGTGTTTACTGTACTGTGTATGGTTGGTTATTTGAGAGTATACTCTATCTATTTATTTATTTATTTATTTTTAGAGAGGGAAGGGAGGGAGAGAGAGAGAGACAGAGACAGACAGACATCAATGTGCTGTTGCTGGGGGCTGTGGCCTGCAACCCAGGCATGTGCCCTGACTGGGAATCGAACCTGCGACACTTTGGTTCGCAGCCCGCACTCAATCCACTGAGCTATGCCAACTCTATTTATTTAAAAGATTGTTTGCTCTGAAATGGTTCGCCGCATTACGCTGACAGTAGCCTCATACGTCTAGTGTTTACATCTCGATTCCGTCGTTTTCTCTGGTGCCTGACCTAATGCCGAGTGGTTTTGTGCAGCAACGTGCCGTATGGGCTGGTGGCTTAGGGACAGCGGGCTGTGCCCTGGAGCCTCAGCGTGTAGGAGGTGACACCGTCTGGGTCTGTGCAGTTGCAGAGCTCTGTGCTGTTTGCACGAAGACGCGGTCACCCAGTGACACCTTTCTTAGCAGGTGTCCTTGTCATCGGTGGTGGTGCCTGTGCGGTGGGGAAGCCGCCGGTATCCCGGCCGTGGAACTCACTTAGGAAGACAATAGTAAAAGATTCTGAAGTTAAATGTGTTTTGGAAGAGGTGCAAGTTCAGTATATGACAGGGAACAGACTAGCACCTACATGAGGTGACAGTAGCGATCCTTGGTGCTTTCCAGGGTCTAGCCTTTGGCTTTGTAGGCTCAAAAAATTTTACATGGTTGTGAATTGGAAGCGGATTCACTTAATATTAAACTGCTTTGCTTTATGAGTAAATTAAAAGGTCAGTTTCTAAACGAAGCAAGAAAATGTCACCTCTGTCCCAAGCAAACCTTCGAGGGGCCAGATTGCGGTGGGTAGCCAGCCGCTCCCCTGCTGTGTGTCCCCGTTGTTGCCTGTAGTTTCCAGGTTGTGACCCTTCGAGTATTGGTGATCTCCCGTTTCTTGCATATTTCCCCAGAAGACGGTACACCTTGTGCGGGTGGGGACCCTGTGTTTCCTCCTGGCTGTATTCTAGTGCGCGATGTCGGGTGCACCTCGGTGACCAGTAAACGTCCCTGAGTGAGAGAGAGTTGGGTGATCAGTGCCGGTGGCCTGTCCCCAGCTCACAGCCTCAGGTCACCATTCTGCTCCTGGGAGGGTCTAGAGCTGCCCATCGCACGTAGGGACGATACGCTTGGGCCAGGAGTCTGAAAGCCAGTCAGCGTGAGCTCAGCGTCTGGTGCAGACAGTGCCCTGTGTTAGGGGTGGGTGGTGTGCTGAGTGGGTCCTTCCTGAAGACTCCGTTTTCAGAGTGTACTAAACACTGCATTCTTCCAAGTGTGAACAGCAGCGAGCTCTGGATTATAGAAACGGAATAACACCAATGGCCAAATCTAAGTGATTGAGTCGTCTAGCATTTATCAGATGAGTCTGATTTGCCTGGGGGTGGGAGCTGGGGCTGTATCTTCTGAGCACCCCCAAGCACCGCCCACGCACCCCGCAGAGGAGGGGTGCCAGAGCCTAACTTCCCGGCAGTGTTGGGAGGACTCGGTGATTCAGCCCAAATGTGCTCTCAGACTCTGCAGAGTCTGGCGGCAGCCGGGAACCGGCCCACGGTGCTGAAAGCTAAGGCTGGTGGGGCCAAGACCCAGCCTGGCGCCTAGATGCCGCCGTCTGGTCCGGGAATGGGCCCAGGACATCATCGTTGCTGCTGACACAGAAGCAGCCTTGTTGCAGCTCCTTACAAGTCCATCTGGGTCAACGGGCCAGGGCCATGGCAGCACTGCTCGCCCCAGCCAGGAGGCAGGAAGCCAGATCAGTCAGCTGTCACTCGGTAACCAGAGGGAGATGTAAGAGGATTTCCAACCACCCAGCCGCCTTGGACCCCAGTGATTGTTCTGAAGTTTTGCCGTGAATTGGCCCTCAGTTAGGGGCCAAGGGTAGCTGGAGAGACGGTCTGCAGTTGCCAGGCACAGGGTGTTCTTCGGGGTGGGGGGGGCTCCTGGGGCTGGGCAGCGAGGCTCATGGCTGTGCTGTTCTTCCAGGAGAAGTGGTCAACACGCACGGCCCCGTGGAGCCTGACAAGGACAACATCCGCCAGGAGCCCTACACGCTGCCCCAGGGCTTCACCTGGGACGCCCTGGACCTGGGGGACCGTGGCGTGGTGAGTAGGCCGGGGCCCCCCTCTCACGGGGAGCCCTGCAGTCACACAGAGACAGCTCCTACCCGGGCCTTCTTCCCGGGCTCTCTGCAGAGCTGAGCCAGACAGCTCGGAGCTGACGCCCGCGTGGCTTGCCCCTGGGGCCTGCCCGCGCCTTTGCAGAGATGGCCCTGGGCTTCCCTCTGCAGCCCCTCGAGGTGGATACCCTCCTCTCACGCTTTCATTCTTCCTGTTCGTTCGTTCACTCCCTTGTCTTAACGAGGGAGTGGTTGGTTGCTTGGGTGACATTCTTGGTCGTCTGCCACTCTGTGTGCCTAAGTCTGCCGTTCTGCCCCGTGATGGCTCAGCTTTCTGCTCCAGCCAGGGTGCTCCTTCCGGAAGAGTCCCTGCCATGCTCGTATGGCTAGGGTCCTGAGATCAAACGTGGTTTCGGTAGTTGGCCCTGTCCTCCGGCAGACCCGGGGCCCCGGGGTAGTGGGGTCGGCCCGTCCGGCAGAACGCCTCTGAGGCAGCGCCTGTCTCTCTGCAGCTGAAAGAACTGTACACCCTTCTGAATGAGAACTATGTGGAAGATGACGACAACATGTTTCGGTTTGATTACTCCCCGGAGTTTCTTTTGTGGTGAGTTGTGAGGGCTTTCTCACAGCTCTCCGCCGAGGCAGAGCAGACCCACCACGGGGCGTTGGAGTTTGTACCCCCCGAGCCAGCCTTTGAGTGGCACGTGGGTGTGTGACTTCTGAGCTCCCGCGTCTGGAGCAGACTTGCTCCCAGTGGGGCTTGGACTAGAGACCTTACTTAAGACAGAATGAGTGGGTGAGGGGGCTTTGTGGAATTGTTACCCAGGAGAAGAGATCACCTGGTATACAGTGATTTTATGTAAGAAGGGAAGGAGAGGCAAAAGCCACTCAGTTTTGTTTGTTTTTTTAATTAGAAGAGCCCTTTTCCACGCAGTTCCAGAATATGCTCAGTTGTGTGAGGCCGGCCTTGCCCGGCTGAGCCGTCCGTCCTCCTGGGCCGCCTCACTCAGTGTCTGGAAAGGCGGAGGCTCGCGGCTGGAATGCAGAGGGCTGCCCGGTGCGGGCGGGTGGGCAGTGCTCCGGGGGCTCCCCGGTCGGCTCCCAGCCAACCACGGGACCCTCTGGACTCGGAGCCAGGGCGGCCTGTCCTCTGGCCTGAGCTGTCGGACTGAGGGAGCGTAAAGAGACTGGGTCGGGCACGAAACCCCAGTGTGGCAGGCAGCCTTGCGTTGGAGGGTGAGTCGGCCACGAGGGCTGAGCGGCGAGAAGGGGCTGTGGCTCAGTTCCGTCTGTGTCCGGGCGGCGTGTCCCTCGAGAGAGTCCAGGTGCTCACCCCAGGGAGGCGGGAGCAGGAGTTAGCACCGCCCTCAGCTCTGCGGGTCCTGAGCAGCCACAACTCGTGTCTGTTCCAGGGCCCTCCGGCCGCCGGGCTGGCTCCCGCAGTGGCACTGCGGGGTCCGGGTGGTCGCGAGTCGGAAGCTGGTCGGGTTCATCAGCGCCATCCCAGCAAACATCCACATCTACGACACGTAAGCACCAGCACCGCCTCCCAACCCCCACGTCCCCACCGTCCTGCTCAGGCTGGGGGGCGGGCGGGGGAGAAAAACAGGCACACGTGCCTTCCCCGAAAGGAAGAGGGACGGCCCTGTGAAGGGAGGGGCCTCGGGCCCCGGGAGTGGACGCTCGTAGTAGGAACCGCCCGTTCCACTCTGAGTCGTTGCTGGTTCTCTCGTCTGGGCGCTGGGCTGGAAGAGGGCCATGCAGATGGCCAGTCCACTCAGCGTTCACTGTCGTACCAGCTACATGTCGATGCACTTGAGTGGCTTCAGCGATAGGCTGGAGCCGGTGTGACTCTCACTGAGGGGGTGACGGGCCTTGGAGCTCCTCCTTCTCCCTGAAAGCACCAGAGCCGCCTCCCATGGCCTTCTGGGTTCGTGGGCCGTGGGTTCCTGTTGGTGTCAAACCCTCGCAGTCCTAGAGTAGCCCTTGACTCTGAGTCTCCCTGCCTGCCAAAGGTGGGACTCCCGCAGCCTGCTGCCGCAGCATCGTCAGGGAGATGCTGGCGGTGCCTTCAGACAAGCAGCTTGCTTGAGTCCCACTTGACCCTGGAGGGAGGGTCTGTGTTGGGGAGGCAGCGGCTCTGCGCCCGGTGGAGCACTGACCGCCGAGAGTAGGTGGTGGCAGAGCACCTGCCCCGGCTGGAGGCCCGTCCCTGCGCGGGTGGCGGGGCGTACTTGCAGGGGCTGCCTCACCTGTTGAAAGCCTCGTCACTTTTCTTTTCTCCCTCTTTAGGGAGAAAAAGATGGTGGAGATCAACTTCCTGTGTGTCCACAAGAAGCTGCGCTCCAAGAGGGTGGCTCCAGTCCTGATCCGTGAGATCACCCGGCGGGTCCATCTGGAGGGCATTTTCCAAGCCGTTTACACTGCCGGAGTGGTGTTACCAAAGCCTGTGGGCACCTGCAGGTAGCCGTCCCTCCCTGCAAGGCCCCGGAATGCTAGGCGGCTGCTCTGGGCGAGGGGCCGCATCACTGTCCGTCTGTCACGGCTCTGCCTCCGCCCAGCGCTTGGCGAGAGCGTGTTGCTTCTCCGGTGTTGGTGTAGGACCAGAGGGGCTGTGGGTGCCCCCTGGAGCCAGGGAGGGAGCGTGGAGAGGGGAGGAGTTTGTGGGAACAGCAGACTGGGACGTGCGTGCCCTGTCCGAGAGGGTCAGTCTGCCAGTGTTTGTTTTAGGGTAAGCCCAAATCTGGATTTTCATGGTAAATGTGCGACAGTTTCAGCGGTTGGCTCAGGTTTGTTTTGAGTGTTGTGTGGGCCCAGGAGAGCGTGTCCGATCCCTGTGTGACCCAGGGAGAACCTCTGACTCAGAGAGCTGTTTGAAACAATCACAGTCTGTACCTCGGGAACTTCAGAAGAGAAAGCGGCAGACAAACACCGCAGAGGAGGGAGGAGGGGGGTGAACACTCACGGAGAACAGTGCTGCTTTTCCATGGACTTGATTCCAGGAGCAGGGGGAGTGCTCTTCCCAGACAGCTCCTGTGACGGGAGGTGTTTGCAGCCGAGAAGTAAACACGGGGAGAAAGGAGATCCAGGAAGAGCTCTGGCAGCTGCGTGTTCTCGGCAGCCAGCGGCCTGGTGGGGTGATTGGGGTTGGAGAGCTGGGCACTGCTGCTGGCTCAAGAGACGGGTCTCTCGCGCCACCTGCTGGCCATCTGGTGGCCATTGTCCTCTTAATGGCACTTGCCAGAATCCTCTGAGGACAGTGCGTTTTGTGGCCCCACAGGTACTGGCATCGGTCCCTGAACCCACGAAAGCTGATTGAAGTGAAGTTCTCCCACCTGAGCAGGAACATGACCATGCAGCGCACCATGAAGCTCTACCGGCTGCCAGAGGCCAGTGGCGCCCGGGGGCGGGGCGGGGGTGTGGTGCAGGGAAGGGAAGGGAGCGGCCCTTTGAGTGGGTGAGGGGGCGCAAAACTGGCTCGCCCCGTGTTCTCCAGATTCCCAGACTTTCCATTTCCGTTGCTTCTGTTGTTTGTAATAAGGGTTTCTAGTTTGACCTTCTCGGTTCCCCTGCACCTGCAGCTGGGCTACTTTTCTGTCCTTGTGGATGGGCCGAGAGGATACCTCTCCCCTGCACTTGCAGCCTAAGTGAGCCTGAGGAGGGACGTGAAGCCGCTCACTGGGTGGCACTACATCCCAGGGCCCCCTGTAAATCAGCCACAGGGTTTCTGCCGCTCCCTCGGCCGCGCCAGGGGAAGGACGGATGACCCGGGCTCATGAGAGAGGCTCAGACTCCAACCCCAGCCCCTTCCAGACTTTGCCGTTGAAGGACTGGCCACCTGCAGTGAGCTGGTTCCTGTTCCGGGCCTCGGTTTGCCTAGTTTCCCAACAAAACATGCTCCACGTTCCCCAGCTGCCCCTGGTTTCGGCGTCCTGATGGGTCCTCGGATTGCTTCTCTTCCCTTGGACCTCCCGCAGGGGGACCACTGAGTTACTGGGCGCCTGCTTATCGGGGGGCTGGACTCCTCCGCCACCCAGCCGGTCACTCCCCCTGGGGTCGGGCTAATCCACCAGTGGATTGGGGTCATCAGCGTCCCGTTTTGAGGGACCCCTGCAGCGCAGTTAGACACTGCCCCAGTGAAAAGAGATTCAAGGGGCCGTGGTGGGTGTCATCTTTCTGTTCTTACGACAGCTTTGCCCTGATTCCTAGGCAGGCGGAGATCATTCTTAAGGTGCGTAGCAACCAAAGAATAAAGAACGTCTCTGGATCTCTCTGCCTGTGGGTGCAGACCCCCAGCATGGCTGCGTTGTCAGGCCAGGATTTGAGGTGTCACTGTGGGAGCTGCCGTGTAGAAACAAGTCAGTAAGCGTTCCCTAGAGACATCAGGATTAGCAAGGAATTTTGGCAGCGAGAGGTCCTAGAAGTGCTGTTCTGAAAGCAGTTCCTACGCAGGGAAGCAGTTACATCAGGCAGTGGCTGAGGGGCGAAGGCTTAACTGCCCCATTTTCAGATGTCCTGGCCCCACCTTTGCAGATTGCGCCTTTGGGGATGCTCTCCCAGCCCCAGTGCTTCTTTCAGGGCACCACACAGCTTTGTTCCGCTGAAGCACTCCCTAAGAAAAGCTGTGGGCTGGGATTCCGGTTTGAGATTAAGTCCCGGGAGTTTGGTGCTTCCCTTCTGAATTTAACCTGCATGAATGTCCTGCCGAGGAACTGCTTGCACAGGGGGGTCCAGGTGGGCAAGGGGAGCGCCCAGTGCCGGTGTGCTGGCCCGGGGACTCCACAGCGCCTGCAACTGGGAGCCCGTCCCAGGTGCTCTGAGTCTGCAGGGGAGGGGCCGGTGCAGCACGAGACCAGCGGTGCTGTGGGTGCAGTGGGAGAAGCTGGGGAGGGCTCAGAGGGCAGTCAGGAACGGCTTTGCTGCAGCCCAGGAGCAGCGCTGGGGTGCATTCATTTTTAGACAGGGGAAGGGAGAGAGAAAGAGGGGGGGAGAAACGTCAATGTGTGGTTGCCTCTCACACGCCCCCTACTGGGGATCTGGCCTGCAACCCAGGCCTGTGCCCTGATGGGAATCGAACCGGCGACCCTTTGATTCGCAGGCCAGCACTCAATCCACTGAGCCACACCAGCCAGAGTAGGCCAGGTGCTTCTTTGTTCTAGCGACTCTCCTGGGCACGTAGGATGTTCTAACAGCATCCCAGCTTCTGGATGCCAGCAGCACATTTTGTGACAACTAGAAATGTCTTCCGATGTTACCAAATGTCCTCTGGGGGCAAGAGGCACAGTCAGAACAGCCAGCCGGTCCGGGTGGAAGGTCTTGTGCTCTGTGTTGAGTTTGGAACGGGGAGGGGTGGGGGGGGGGTCATGTTTCTTAGGAAGACGGGGTGAGCTGTATGGGTAAGAAGTCGAAGCAACAGCCTTAACTAGGAGGGAAGGGCCGAAAGACACTGGAGAGGCAGGCTTTGTGCCTGATGGACATGGGGGAGAGGGCGTCGCCAAGGGTGACCAAGGAGTCTGTCCTGAGGGCCTGGGCTGATCTAGGGTTGGGTAGGAGGGGGTCGGCGGGAAGTTTGTGGTGCTCCCAGGACCCGAGAGGAGCTGAGATGCTCGCAGTCAGCAGTGCGTCTGACGCGGCCTTTGTCTCCCTTGCAGTCTCCCAAGACCCCTGGCCTGCGACCCATGGAGAAGAAGGACATTCCAGTAGTGCATCAGCTCCTCACCCGGTACCTGAAGCAGTTCCACCTGACGCCGGTCATGAGCCAGGAGGAGGTGCAGCACTGGTTCTACCCCCAGGAGAACATCATCGACACGTTCGTGGTGGAGGTGAGCGGGGGCGGGGGGGCATCCTCAGGCGGCTGGGTTTCTAGGCTCAGTGACTGCGGAACCAGTCGGTGGGAGTGTGGGCGCCCCAGGCTCCCTTGACCACCCGTGCGTGACCCTCCCTAAATCAGAGAGCGGAGTTGTAGTTCGCATTTGCTAAAATGATGCCCTCAGGAGTTAGTGTGGGCCCTTCTCCTTCCCCGCGCCCCGTTCCCCATTGGTGACCAGAGAACAGAGCTCCTCTTAGGTGAGCCTGCAGCCCCTGCCTGTCCCGGCTCGCGGTGGTGCTGGCCGAGCATTTGGGTCACAGCTTGGGGGACTGTGAACTGCAAGGTGTCCCTGGCAACGCTCAGGCCAGGAAAGACGGCGGATGGATCCAGCCCACAGCCTGGCCGGGACTTTCCTCCTGGCTCTGTCCTCAAGTGCCCCGGGCGGTGTGTTTTCCCCTCCCTGCGTACTCTGTTCCAGTCTCCGTCCGCTCTTGCGGGGGGCACCCGTAGGTGGTGTGAGAGCAAGAGGAAATACTTTGTTCCCAGACTGCAGGACTTTTGTGCCTGCGTGACATTGCTTCCTTTCTTTGTCTTCCCTTTCAGAACGCAAACGGTGAGGTGACAGACTTCCTGAGCTTTTATACGCTTCCCTCCACCATCATGAACCATCCGACCCACAAGAGTCTAAAGGCTGCTTATTCTTTCTACAACGTTCACACCCAGACCCCTCTTCTAGACCTCATGAGTGACGCCCTTGTTCTCGCCAAAATGGTGAGGGGCGGATCGGAGGGAGGGCCGGGGCACCCGTGGGCAGGGGCAGGGGCAGCGGAGTGGCGGTGAGCACAGCTCAGGGCGGCAGCTGCCAGGGGCTGGGGGCTGAGAGCCCGCCATGCCTCCTGCTCCCCTCCGGGAGGACCCAGCAGGTTTCAGCAGCGAGAAGCTAGGAGGGAGCAGGGAGCATCCGTGTGAGGTGAAGGCATTGAACTCCTCCTGATTTATTTCAGTGAGTTTCGTTCTCACGGGAGGCGCTGCCAAAGGAGCCTGAATAGCCAGGCCTGCTCGGGCAGGAAAGGGGTTCTCCTTGCGACTCCCCCCACATGGGAATGGGGAGATTGGTCTCTGTCGTGGTGAGTCATTGGAGCTGCTGACCGGAGAGCGCGGGGGAGGGTCCAGGCGTCTCTCACTCAGCGAGGTCACCTCCAGTCAGCCCTCCACCACGGGTGCCGCCCGTAGTGAGCCCACCCACCCACCGTGGGCCGGCCAGGCGACGGACACTCCCGTCCCTGCCCTGGGAGCGCTTCAGATCAAAGTGGCCAGATGGAGGAGGCACCTTCCCACGGCCTCAGAGCCGGCAGGCGTATCAGGTGTCGTGAGGTCACAGGGTGTGCGCCCAAGGCCTGAGAGTTGGGTGTCCAGGGAGTGAGAACAGCGCAAGTGCCAATAAGAGCAGCGCAAGCGCTGATAGGAGCAGCTTCTCCGAGAAGGGGGTTCGGGCTCGGTCTGCAGAGAGGACTGTGCAGGCTACTGGAGTGTCTCGGGGACTCAGCAAGGAGCGGCGGGAGCAGGGGCCTGGACAGGTGTGCTTGGAGGGGCACTACGGAGAGGCCAGGCAGGGTGGCCGCGAGCGCCCTGAGAGCCGTCACTAGCGAGCGGGCCCTGGCGGGAGCTGGGATTTAACGTGAAGGCAGCCAGAGCTTCGCAAGGGAGATGGCTCTCTGGCCGTCTCTAGAGCGTTCTGGCAGGACAGAAAAGGGCAGGGGATGAGGCAGCCCTGACCTCTCATCACCGGCTCTCGCTCCCTGCCGCCCCGCAGAAAGGGTTTGACGTGTTCAATGCACTGGATCTCATGGAGAACAAAACCTTCTTGGAGAAGCTCAAGTTTGGCATAGGGGACGGCAACCTGCAGTATTATCTCTACAATTGGAAGTGCCCCAGCATGGGCGCAGAGAAGGTGGGTAAGCAGCTGGGCCCACCCCGTCGGGAGTTGGTGGGGCAAAGACAGGGCCCCAGGTCGGGGATCCCGCATCAGCCTGGGCCCTGGTTAGCGGGTGTTTGGGCCCCCCCCCCCCAAGTCCCCTCCCTCTGATGGCCAGACGAGCAGGGTCGGCGCTGCCCTTTTAGTGGCCGGTGTGAGGGTGGCAGAGGGGTGAGCTCCAGGGCTACCCAGAACCATGCAGGCCGAGTTGCCTACAGTTAGCCGGGAAGTTTAGAGTTCAAGGTTTGAAGACCTTTTCCCCTGCTGGGCTGCTGGACCCCCGCCAGCCCTTCCTCCACCGGCTCCCAAGGGAGCCTGGGGCCGTGGGCGTGGTCGGCAGTTGCAGAGTAACTGCCTGCTGGGGGGAGGCCCGGTGCCGCTGCGGCTCTCCCTGTGGGGTGCGGTGAGTGCTTGAGGCCTGGAGTGGAGGCTGGCTGTGCCTCTGCTCACACGGCCCGGGGCGCTCTGTGGGCTGGCGTCTGGCCCTTCGGGTCGGAGTGGGGCAGTGGGAGAGGCTCCAAGCTCCTGTCACTCAACCCCGCCCCTCCCCATTGGCTCTCCTAGGTTGGGCTGGTGTTACAGTAACCAGTTGCCAGTGAGATTCTGGATAAAGCCACTGAGAATTCCAGCTGGGAATGGAACCCCACCACTTGTTGGTCCAATTTTCACAAACGTGAGAATCCCTGGCAAAGGGAACAGAAGCGAACCGGCTTTACCAAACAGCCACTGGATTTGACAGTTGTGTTGTGACGGCCGCGGGCTGCGCGATGCCACCTCGGCCGTGTCTCTGGTCGCCCTGTTTTCCAGTTAATCACACCCTCACGCAGCCGCGATCAAGGGAATGCAGCTGCTGGGAACTGGCTCGTGATTGGCATATTATGGAGTTAACGGGTGAATAATAAAAGTATATATATTATATATATAAATATTTTAAACATCTTTCCTGTTCCAAATGTACAAGGACGTTTGGTCTCCAGTGAAAAGCTGAATCCAGGTCACTCCTCAAAGTCAGAATCAAGGACAGTGCCGTACGCACACATTGGTACAGCGACTTCCGTCCTCCTGAGAGCAGGCACTGGCGCTTCTTGGGGGAGCAGGAGAAAGAGGATGCGGGGCGTCTACCCGGTTCCCCTTCCGAATCGGCTGCACTGGTTGGCTTCGAGAGCGCGGGGTACGGTGGAGGGACTGCGCCAAGCTTCGGGGCGGGGCGGGGGGGGCGGTGCTCAGATCTCGCAGACCACAGGCGCCGGCGTCCTGGGTGGGGCCGGCCCTACTCAGGCTCGCCCGCAGGCCCTGGGCGTGTCCCGCACTCGGAAGCCGGGCGCTGCGGCGCCCTGGGGACGCAGAGTCTGTTGAGTCCCTCCCTCCATCCTCTTGGCCTGCTCCCTGGCGGAAGTCCTGCCGACTCTCCAGCCAGCTGTTGCCAATCTTATGGTCACGGGCACCCTGAGAGACTGTTTTTCCACTCCCACGGGTGACTGGCACCTTGAAGGGGACTTTTGACCTCCTTGTAGCATTTGGGACCTTGAGGAGACCATGTCAGTGCAATCCCTGGTTAGCTCGTCTTCGAGCAGAGAGCCAGCACCCTGGCGGCCCTGGGGCTGGCTGGGCAGGGGCGGCGTGGGGCCGATCCCAGGCGCCTTCGGCCACCAGTCCCTGGCTTGTGCCTTCCAACCCACTGGCCACCGCTTGTCCAAGACACACAGAGTTCGAGGAACGGTGGTTACGCCAGTCTGGACTTGGCAACAGAAATGGTTCTGTGTTGCCATGGTCCCAGCATGACTTTCACGGAGGCTGTTTGGTGGGTTTTGTGGTGGTGGTGGTGGTGGTGGTGACGTTTATGGATGCTGCCAGGTTCCCCGCCACGGGTGGGGCCCCCAGGCACGTGGCCGTGCAGGCACCCCCCGTTTGTGCCCAGCCCAGTGTTGGGGAGGGTCGGGCCGTGGAATTGTCAGCAGCCCGAGTCCTGGCTTCTGTGTGACTTGTGCTGTGGGAGAAAGTGAGTGGGTGGGCTGCGTGGCCTGGGGCTTTCCTGGCTGCTTTCGCCTCCCGGCTGCTTGCAGGGGAGAGGAAGTCGTAGCCGGGCGGCCGGGCTCGGCCTGGCCTCCTCACTGAAGCCAGGCCCCGCAGGCCAGCAGAGCCCGGTTTCAGGCTGTGGGTTTCGGTGAGGTTCGCCAGAGGCTAGTTCTGCGGCCCGGCCCGGACTCCCAGCGAGGCCTGCAGGGCCTCCCTTCTGTCGTCCCTGTGCTGCAACCTGCGGGCACCAAAGATCACGGCTGACCTTCGACTCCTTGACTCCAAGATACCCAGACCAAAGAAGCTGCTGTTCTTAGCAAGAGACTCACCGCATTCCGCAGACAGGAGGAGTCGGAGAGGCCGGGGCTCACCTTCCAGCCTTGCAGGTGTCAGGCCCAGCGCCCCGAGTCACCCAGCGGCTCGCCCTGTTCGGGCTTGAAGGGTATCAGAGAACAATGAGCCCGCCTCTTGGCTGCCTTGGGCAGGACCTGGGACTTGGAAACACTCCCTGGCAGAGGCTCGGTCAGCTCTGGGCCAAGCCCCAGCCTGCACTGCCTGTGTAGTGCGGGGTGCTCGACCGCCCCTGGAGCGACCTTGGCCTCGGTGGGCCCAGGTCACGGGATGGAAACTGCGAGGCCCGTGGCTGCTCCGGAAGAAGCAGGTCTCCTGGAAAGGTCTCGGTGTCCCCTCCAGAGCCGCGCGGCCTGCTCCTTGGACTCTGTTGTTCGTGGTGGGGACCCTGCCCCACCCTCAGCATCACCCCCGGGTCTTTGGGGGTTGGCTCGGCAGCGGCTGCGTCAGCCTCCTCTTTGTCCACACAGCCCTTGGGTTCTTCACTCAGCCCCTTGCAGGACTTCAGGTCAGAGCACTCGGAGAGAGCCATCGTTTGGGGTTCAGGGCCTCCCCACAAGGAGCCTTGACTGGGGCAGGGCAGTGCAGCTGTGGCTGGTAGAACCAAACAAGGGAAGGACCCGGGGCCTCCTCCCCCAGGGACCTGCCCCGGGCGGCTACTGTTGGGCAGCCTCCTGGGTGCGGCCCTTTTTCTGTGCCACCAGTGCTCCGTGCTGGCGCCGGGCGGGTGGACTCCCGTGTGTCTGAATGTTATTTCCTGCCTTTGGATTGACTGCATTTGACCCCTGACGCCGAGACCAGTTCCCACGGCCTCCCATCTCTGCTGGGAGAGGCCTGGGCTCTGGACGGAGGTCTGTGTGGGGCTTGTTTCCCGACCCACGCCCAATTCCGTAGATGCTGACCTCTGGCTTGGAGGCTGGCCCACACCCAGCCACTTGGGGCCCTGCCTGCACCTCCCTTCTGATTGCCATCCCCCCCCCCAACCCCACCCCCGCCCTTACTCCCTGGCTCACTGAGGCCCGAGGCTGCGTGACCCAGTGGTCTTGAATTCTTTGCTCAGAGATGACCAGCATTTAGCCAACCCAAGGGGTGGCCCAAAGGCCTGGGCAGCTTCAGGGCAAAGTGGTCTAGAAGCAGGGGGGAGGTGCTGCCTGGCCAGGGGAGGGGGCTGGGAGTGTGTCTCTGGCCCGGCCCACCTGCCCCGACAGGAGACCGAGGCCGGGGCTCTGCCCTGCTGCCGAGTGAACGCAGCAGCCCGGCCGGCGGGCTGCCCCCAGGAGCCTTAGTGGGGCAGCTGCGTTCAGTTCAAGAACATCGACTGCAGGCAGGTGCGGCGTCTGGGACGGGGAAGCTTCACCTTTCTGTCTTGGCTTTTCTCTGGGCTGCGGGCGGGGCATCCATTTCCAGGGTGGGGGAGGAATTGCCTTGTCCGCTCGATACATCTCACTTGTTTCTAATAAAGGAAGCAGCTGAATAAACCCCTCTGCCCTCCTGGTTTTCCTCTGCACGGCAGGTGGGGCGGGGGGAGGCTGGAGGGCCCCCTCCCTGAGAGTGAGCGTCCTGCAGGGAAAGGCCCTTCTTGTGGCCGCAGCACCTGGCCGCTCCTGAAGACGCTGGGCGAGGCCCTCGGGGCAGACTGGGCGCCGTTCCCCAAACCCCTGCCCACCGCCGAGGGGCCAGTACTGACCCAGCCTCTCGGCGGCCGGGCTCTGTGCCCGCGCCGGGCACCGTGGCAGAGGCGCCAGTCCCGGGCCGGGCTTCCGCAGCCGGGGGATCCGCCCCCTCGGTCCGGGACGGGCGCCGCCCTGCACTTGTTCAGATGCCACATCTCCCCCAGGGCCAGGGGTCCGGCGGGTCTGTGGAGCCACCGGGGCCGCTCCCAACGCCGCAGGCCAGCCGGCCCACGGCCCGCCTGCGGGAGGGCCCCAGGCTCTGCTGGGGACTGCCCGCTCCCTGCTGTCTTCCTCTGGGACTTCGGAACTTTTAAAAACTTTTTAAAATATGTTTTTAATACATACAATATTTTATCCTCACTGAGGACATGCTTATTGATTTTAGGGAGGGGAGGGGAGGGGAGGGAGGCATCAGTGAGGGGGAGAAAAACACTGGTTGGTTACCTCACAGGAGGCCTGACTGGGCACAGACACCTGCGGCTTCGGTTTGCAGGGCAATGCCCCTCGCAGGTGAGCCCCGCCCAGGTGGGCCCCGCCGGCCAACCAGGCCGCCTCTGGGACTGTTGATGCTGTCCCTGACCCTGTGCTCCTTCCAGACCCCGTGGCTGGTGCCTCTGAGCCCCCTTCCGGGGAACCTGGGCCCTGAGCTGCAGCCCGAGAGGGCACCACCTGTGTGGGGAGCTGCCGTCCAGCTCTGCCCTTGTCCCGGGTCAGTGTGTTGCCTGACAGGACCCAAGGGGGCAGGGCTCCACGTTTAACCCTAGAAAAACACCTCTCTGCCCGTCTTCTCTGGATTCTGTCACCCGGTGTCTCCGGGGCTCCGGCTGCTCGCGTCTTGGGAGGCGGCGGGGCAGGCACGGCCTTCAGGCCTGCATCTGAAAGGCTGCTTGGCTTGGGGGAGGCAAGCTCCGGTTTCTGGAGTCTGTCTGCCCTGCCCAGTCCGGAGAGTCAGGGGCCTGCCCCCAGCCTGCAGGGCCGTGAGAGCTCTGTCCCAGCCGAAGGCCGTCCAGCCGCCTCCCCACGGGAGGCCCCTCCGAGGGTTGGCGCGGGCAGCTCGTGGTGGGTGTCCTCCGTCTGCGACGCTGGCGGCAGCGTTAAGCTGAGAGGGCTGGGGGCTATTTTGAGCCATGGGGTCTCCAGCACCCCCAGTCGTCTTAGACGAACTCACACCCGCTTGTGTGGAAGGGCCCGAGGGGCTCCAGCCCGTCCCTCCTCATGGGCCTGGCTGTGGCCTCAGGTGCTTGGGGTGGCAGTGGTGAAGGAAATTTCCTTCTTTGTTTTTAAAAATAGTCCTGTTCTCCTGTCCTCTCCAGGACGCTTCTGTGTCACGAACTAAAACCTACTTCTTGGTGTCCCCAGGGCACCCAGCCTCTGCTCCTCTCTGGCTTCAACGAGAGAAGCGAGCTCAGGTGAGGCACTTACGTCCTGCTCCCAGGTCTTCTGGCTCCTGGCGGGAGCAGGCCTGGCTCTGGGTGGGCCACAGTGTGGGTGGGCTGAGGTCTCGAGCTGGGGCCCCCCCCAGGGCTGCGGGGCAGAGGTCAACCACCGGCTCTGCAGGAGGGGCTGCGGCAGAGCCTGCCCGGCAGGCGAAGTGGCAGGCTGGGTGGGCTGGTCCTCCCACCGCCCAGGGGAGAAGGCCTCCGCGGTGGGCGGCATGCAGACTGGTGTCCGCAGGCAGGTCCCCGAGGTGGGTCTGTCGGGCCTTCAGGAGCGCTGGACTCGGATATGGACGAAGAGCGTGGCTGGGGACAGGGAGGCCCCGTCCTTGGAGAGCAGGTGGATGTGACGGTACCCTGCGGGGAGAGTGGCCGGGCGTCAGGTCTGCCGCCCACCACCCTGCAGGGCTGTGCAGGGTGCGGCCCCCGCCCCCCCCCCCCCACTGGGGGCTGGGTCCTGGCTTGGGGGGACTCCTGAACGGCTCTCACGGGAAACTCGAAGCCCCGAGGCCCAGGCGCCTGTTCCTCCTTCATGCCCACCCTCCCCACCAACCTGGCTTCAGGCTGCTGAGAGGCAGTGTGAACTGGCCCACAAAGTCGTTGGGGGACGTGGTGTCGTAATCTTCGACCACGAACCGCACCAGCGCCAGCTCTGGCACCCGCAGCTGGAACTGCAGGGTCTGCCCCCAGCGGGGGTTGAAGCCTGGGGCGAAGACGGGTTTGGCGGTCAGAGCCGGCGGCCCCGCCCAGCATCCTCCGCGGCCTGCCCCTCCCCCTCCCCCACCAGCAGGCCCACTCACCGTTGTTGAGCACGTAGGTGGTTTCCTTGCGCGCGCAGTCCATGGGCACCCCGTGGATCTCAATGCGCACCAGGGGGTCCACGATGGAGCTGGGCTTCTCTGCGTTCAGCTTGGGCAGCTGCTGTGCGGTCAGCACCTGCGGAGAAGGGGGCGGGGTGGGCTTCAGCATGGCCTCCGCTGTTTCCCTGTTTGCCCTCAGCACCCACCCAGGCCTCCAACCGCCCTCCCGCCGCTTCAGGCCGGCGCCCCGAGGACGAGGGCCTCCGGAGCCAGCTCCGAGCCCAGTGCAGGGCGCGGCCCAGGCTGCCAACCTGCACGGTGAGAGTAGTTCTTGGGGGCCCCGGGCTCTCGGGGTCGAAGTCCGTGTCGGGCTGCCGCAGGCACTGGGGTTTCAGGACGTAGCCACACTGCCCGTTGACGAGGAAGCGCCCGGCGTTGAGGTCCATCTCGTAGCCAGGCGTCTGGAAGTTCAGGGCCACTGTGGGCACAGCGGGGTCAGGACAGGGGCTCTTCTTAGTGGCCCTCTCACTGACTGCCCAGTTTCAGGAGCCTCGCTGCGGTCTCCCGCAGACAGACCGCACGCAGAGGACTCAGTTCCTGTCTAAGGAGGACCCCTGGGCCCTACTGTCTGGGGAGTGCTGCCCCCCCACACACACCGTGGTGTGGCCAGGGGGTCCAGCCCCACGGCCAGCTGGTATCACTTGAGGCTGGAATGAGGGACTGAGTGGGGCGCCCTGGAGAAGCGCCCAGAGCCCAGGCCTGAGGTTTCGATGCCTACGCAAGGGGACCACACTGCCCCCCAATCCCCCACTTGGGGGGCTCAGCATGGGATCACATGTGTGCAGGTGTGTGCCGAGGGGGCATGTGAGGTGTGGGGAGCCTGCTCATGATTTTTTAAAAATTTATTTTTAGAAGGGAAGGGAGGGAGAAAGAGAGGGAGAGACACATTGACCAGCTGCCCGCGGCCTCTCACACGCCCCCAGCTGGGGACGTGGCCTGTGCCCCGACCAGGAATCGAACTGGCAACCTTGCGGTTTGCAGGCTGGTGCTCAATCCAAGAGCCACACCAGCCAGGGCCCTGCTCACAGTTCTTTAGTAATTGTTATCATCAACAAAACACTCTTGGCCCTGGCCTGGCAGCTCGGTTGGTTAGAGCACTGTCCCAATACACCACGGTTGCGGGTTCAATTCCCCACCAGGGCACATGCAAGAATCAAGCAATAAATGAATAAATAAGTGGAACAACAGATTGATAGTTCTCTCTCCCTTCCTGTCTCTCTAAAATCAGTCAATAAAATTTTTTTTAAAAAACACCTTTTCCACCTGGAAAGCTGCGTGGCCCTATCCCTGCGGGGGGCTGCCCCACACCCCGGAGGCCGCCCACAGAGCATCGGCCCGCCCGCGCGCCGCCCTGCAGCCGCACGCACCCAGCTGGCAGCCCGAGTTCCACATCTCCTGGGGGCTGTAGTTGGCCGAGTTCATCCGAAGCCCCAGCGGGTAGACACGGGTCAGCTGGTGGGTGTTGTGCCTGACGAGGCTGTTCCCTGGGGGGAAGTCCGGGTGCGATTGTTACAGGCTCCTGGGGTGTCCCTCACCTGGAAGGCCTGTGACCCCTCCCCCAGTGCGGACAGCTGGGAACGGCCGAGTTCCCATCCCTGGCTTGCCCTGCTCCAGCTCCTCCTCTCTGACCCGGGGGTGGGGGAGCCTCCTGAGGAGGCTGCTGAGTCCAGGGAGGGGCCGGTCCGCCTCCTGCTCTCTGACTCAGCGCCCGGAACACTGGGCTCCAGGCTGACACCCCTCGGCTCTCGTCACTCACCCACACACGCCCTCTGGCCCACCGCTTCCCGGACCCTCCCTGTGCGCCGTGCCCCGGGCCTTTGTGCAACCCAGCCACCCTGCTGCTTCCTCGTCCTTCCTGCCAGGTGTCTTCTCCGCCACGACTTGTCGGGAATCTTCCCCTGATCTCACCCCCTTCTGCTGCACCCCCGCAGGCACTATCGTGGCCCCACTGCCCCCCTGCATCGTAATCACCCAGCGACTCTGGCGCCACCACTAGGCCGTGCGCCTGGGGAGGGCAGACAGCAGGCTCCCAGCTCCCTGGGCCGTCTCCCCGCCACGCCTGCCGGGCCTGGTGCTGGCCACGTGCTGCGCACCCGGCCCCTCTCTGGTGTCCCCCTGACCTCTTGACTGCCCCAGACCCTCTCAATTTCCTTCCCGACCATCGTCAGGAATCCCCAGCTCCTACCCGCCTCTCGGATGAGCTTCTTGGCCTTGCGCTCGCTGAGGGAGCTGACGTGGCGGGGCTGGGGCGGCACGGGGGCCGGGCTCAGGGTCCGCAGGCGGGCGGCACAGCAGTACACCACCAAGGCCGACAGCTCCGGGGAGATCTGCTTGGCCTGGGGGACGGGCCTCTCACTCAGGGGGCGTCCTCCTTCCTTCCCTCCCCTGCCCCCCGCCCCAGGCCCTGCCGCAGTCTGGGGCCGTCCAGCCCACCCCACTCACCCCTGGCTTCTGTTCCACGGCCTCCATCCCCTCTTCTTCCTCCTCCTCTTCCTCGTCCTCCTCCCGGTCGGAGAGAACCCGACCGTCCTCGGCCTGAGCAGCTGGCAGCTTCTTCCCCTTCACCAGGACCCGGCCCTTCAGCTGCTGTAGAGACCAACAGGGGAGGATTCAGGCCTCTCGCCCCGGTGTCGGCCGGCTGGTCGGCCATTCGGCCACCCCAGTGTGCGAGGCTGGCTGGGGGTGAGAGGCCAGAAAAGAGACACAAAGGTGGGTGGTTTCTAATAGAAAAAAAAATAAAAAGGGGAAATGGTTAAGGAGGTCCCAGCAAGCATCAGAATACCGCACAGCAGCCAGTGACATGGGGGAGGCAAGTGGGGAAGAGAAGTCGCCCTCTTCAAACGAGACCTCACGCGAAGGAAGAAGTGCAGAACGTGGGGTCGCGTGGTCTTCCTCGTGTGACATTTGAAAGGGGAGGGGGCTGTGGGCCGGGGTGCTTATGCGTGGGAACCTCTGGAGGAGACCACGAGAAGCTGCTGAGGGTGGTCGCTCCCCGTGAAACACGATGGGGGTGAGTTCGAGTGGAAGAAAACTCCTTTTCCTTTGCATATGCTCGTGTATAGCTTTTTTTTTTTACCATATGTATGTTTTTTATATAATAAAAAATTATACACCCAAGCCCTGGCTGGTGTAGCTTAGTGGATTGAGTGTGGGCTGTGAACCAAAGTGTCGCAGGTTCAATTCCCAGTCAGGGCACATGCCTGGGTTGCAGGCCATGACCCCCAGCAACCGCACATTGATGTTTCTCTCTCTCTTTCTCCCTCCCTTCCCCCTCTAAAAACAAATGAACTCTTAAAAAAAAATTATACACCCAGAAGGTGAATCAACATTTTTTACATACTTGAGATTCGGAGTGAGAGGAGAGGTTTCTCAGCAGCCAGAAAAGGATAAGTGTCCTGAGGGGGGCAGATAAAATGCCTGGGGTTTGGGAGGGGAGGAGGCAGGACCGCCTCCGGCCAGAATGTGGGGCTGTGTCTAAGGCCCCAGGAAGAGGCTGGGATTCTAAGCAGGTGGTGCCTGCAAGCCCAGGTGGCTGGGAAGGGAGCTCCAGGTGCAGATGGTGTCAACCAGGGACTAGGCGGCGGACTGGCTGAGCTCGCAGGGACTCTGTGGGCGGCAGCCGGGCAGAGCAGGGGGGTGAGGGCCAGGTCACGGAAGGCCTTGAAGGCCAGGTGAGAGGTTGGGGGGGGGGGTTGGTCTAGTCCAAGTTGGAGGGCGGGAAACTGCTAAGACCCTGAAGCAGCAGATGTCTGATGAAGGGAGGGGCAGGGGAAGGCAGAGAGGGGGAGGGGCCGGACCCAGGGAGCTGGCAGGAGCAGGGTGGACGCTGGACTGCAGACAGACCCTTCCCCGCCTACGCTGGGGCTCTGGGAGCCTCACCTCCGGGGAGGGCAGCTCTTCAGGATTTTGGGCGTCCAGGGCCTGCGTCACCAGCATGTCCCCCAGGATGGTGCGGAGGTGGCGAGCCATGACAGCCTGCTGCTCCAGCCCACAGTGGTTCTCAAGGGACAGGATGACGGGGTATGGGGACAGCTGTTGGGGGGAGAAGCCCCAGCTCAGAGTCCCTCACGCCTCTCCCCCTCCCAGCACAACCAGACCCCCTGCGACATGCAACCCCCACCCCCCGGCAGGACAGGCGGGGAAGGCCGGGCTCTGGAGAACCCTCGGTCGGGGGCCAGGGGGGAGGGACGACGACTGAGTCAGCGGGACGTGGGACACACGCTGGGGTCGGTGTGTTCCTGGAGGGGCAGAGGTCAGGTATGGGGCCTCGGGAAGGGGTGGGCTGCCTGGGAGGCTGAGGGCGGCTGCAGGAATGGTTTTCTCTTCTAAACGCTCTTTCCACGGCCATGACATTGACCATGTCACACTGTCCCCCCAGTTCGTTTGTTGGCAGTAAGATTTGTGCAGCTCTACCAAAACGGCAGTTTTCCGTCGGCGCCGCGCTGCGTTTCTCTGACGGCCTGCTCTCTGGGAGCGATGCCCGAACCGTCCTTCCCTCCCCCAAGGGCTGCCTCTGGAGATCGTGGGATTTTAAACATTTCCTGGGCAGGAGGGTGGGAGAAGCAAGCCCCTCGCTCAGCTGTGTTCCGCCCCGCTGGCCGGCCGCTCGGGCGGTGCCTGGGGAGCGGGCGGTTCCCCGCGCGGAGGGTTCCTCTGCAAGGACGCAGGCGGCCGGGCTCACCGAGAAGGCGTGGTCACGCACGACCTGGACCACGTCCCGGAAGAGGATCTTGGAGGTGAGCGTGTGGCCGTGGTAGATGATGGGCTCCCCTCCCGGGCCCTCCCAGCAGTCCAGCTCCACGCAGCGGCACCCCTGGGCGAAGGCCCTGCAGACAGACGGACGGACAGACAGACAGGCAAGGCGTCACGCGGATGTGGATGGCACAGAGGCGGGGCGCAGGCTGAGCCCGGTGGGCTGTGCCCGGCGGGGGCTGAGCCCCGCCTCCCCACCCAGCTGGGCCCCCAGGAGTGCTCACGGCTTCCATCCCCCGACTAGGTACCTCACGTAGGCCTCGGTGCTGCTGGGCCCCCCGATCTGGGAGTCGGTCAGATAGGTGTTGTGCGAGGAGGAGATGAAGTAGTGCGCGAGGGGCTGGCCCATGTCCTGGAACACGCACGTGTGGGCCGGGTCCAGGGCAGCCCCCTCGGGCGACAGCAGGTACATCATGAAGCCGTCCAGCGTCATCAGCTCGTGCTGCTTGGCTGCAGGGACGCGCAGAAGACGGCGTCAGGCCCCAATGGGGGGGGACCCCGCACCCACCCCCACCCCCACCCCTAAATGCCCCCAGAGTTCACTGCACTTGGTAATTACGGGCTCCTGTCTGCTGACTGGACTCGACAAAGTTACCCCACTTCATCTCTAGCCGAGCCCCGGGAAGCAGGTACGTTAATATGCCATTTTACGGATGTGGCGGCGGAGTCTGGAGGAGGCGGGACAACTTCCCGCGACGGCACCCACGGCCAGGGACAGCGGAGCCCACTCGGCGCGGCCCGTGGCCCGCCCGCCGGACGCCCACCTGTCTCGTTGAGCTCATGGGTCTGGATGAGCCGCCGCGCGCGGGCCAGCGTGGCGCCGTCCTCGCCCTGGTCCTCCAGGAACTCCAGCAGCTCCGGGGCGCTGAGCACGCGGTCCTCGCCCGAGTACCGGTGGAAGATCTCCTCCAGCTCCGGGCGCTTCAGCAGCCGCAGCAGGAACTCCTCGATCTCGGTCCCCTCCAGCCGCTCGTTGTTGGAGCGGTCACACTCCTGGGAAACGGGGGGGGAGAAGCTCAGAGGAGGGGACACCCCGGGAAAGCCGGCCTGCACTGGCGCGCCCGGCATCTACCTCGGCCGGGGAGGTGGGGGGGTCCCCCGCCTCACAGGTGGGCCACCTGAGGGCTAGCGAGGCTCTGGTCTTGCTCAAGCACACGCAGCTGGTGACTCGCAGGGTCGGGGTGCTAAGGGCGGTCCCCCGGGTTCAGCGCCTATCCCTCCGTACCGGGACCTAACCCGAGCATCCAGGTGCGGGAGGAGGAACGGTGACCCGGGGGCAGGCCCGAGCCCCAGGCCACAGCTCCCCCTTGGGTGTGCACACATGACCACCCTCACACCCCACAGTCACACCCGGGGTCCACGAGCAGCCCCAGGGCCAGGGAGGGTCCACGTGGAGCTGCTGGACCGGGGGGAGGGGCGGTACAGGTGTCACAGGCTGGTCACACAGTCAACATGCACACGGGGGCCTGCCAGGTGCTCTGACTGGGCCAGGGACGCAGGGCCCGAGCTGTGCGCCCCGTCTGCACGGCCACAGGTGTGGAGATGCCGCACGGGCCACAGTGGGGTGGGGGGGGGCCGTGCACACACGTGCCTGGGAGCCGGCTCCTCCCTTTGCTCCCGGGGGGAAGTCACACACGGTCACCCGTGCAAAGGGTGTGCTGTGGACTTAGAGGAAGGAAAACTACGGCTTCACTGCTCACTTGGGAGGGGCGGGGAGGACCCCGGGCCCCTCTGCCCTGGGGGCCTGCCTGACAGGACGGAGAGAAGCTGGGCCAGCGCTGCCTCCATAGCCTCAGGCCAGGGTCAGAGGGTAAGTGGGCCCAGCTGTGGCCTTTCTGCTGGGAGGGGCCTTCCCTCTCTCCACAAAAGCTGGGTGGAGAGGACAGCTAATGGCTCAGAGGACCGGGCCCCGCCCCCCAGAGCAGAGGTCAGAGGCCACAGCGGTGGCAGGGCCCACCTTGAAGAGGCGGTAGGCGTACATGTCGTTCATGTCCACGTTGAGCATCCTGAGCAGGCTCTTGATCTCCTTGAAGCTCATCTTGCTGTCCTGATTGGAGTCCGCCCGGTGCAGGTAGGAGTGGATCCAGGTGTGGGTGCTCAGGAAATAACCAGCAACAGCTGACGGGAACTGGCAGGCGTGTCTCCCCCACCTGGCTTTGGGGGCTTTCCGGGGCGGGGCCGTGGGCGGCCTGCGCACGGCAGCGGGCTGTCCTCCGCGGGACTGGGGCTCCTCAGAGCCGGGAGGCGCGTCACCGCCCTTAGTTTTGCAGACAAGGGGCCAGGGACTCCGGCTCAGGCTGTGGGCCTCCGAGGGGCAGGGCATACCTCCCCGCGGCTGGGGTCCCCAGGGACGGGCTGGCCCCACCCCCACTCTCCAGGGCAGGATATTGATCCAGGCGCTCGCGCTGGCTCATGGCGTCCAGGCGTGTGCGCAGCTTGGCCAAGCCGCGCACCCAGCGCTGCGCCTCCTCGGCCGTGGGCGCCACCAGGTCCAGGTTCTTGCGTCGGCCCTTGAAGGCGATGGTGAGGCAGCGCTCGGGCGCGAAGGCACCCCCGAAGCGCCGCAGGCCCTCGGACTGGTGCCCCTCGCGGACGGCCTCGATGTGCTGCACGAAGACTGCGGGGAGGGGCGGCCGGGTCAGGCGGCGGCCTGGCAGGGCACTGTCCCGCCCGGGCACTGTCCCTAGCCCACCCGGTGCCCGCCCCACCCAACTCACAGATGTGCTGCGACGGCGCATGCGGGACGCGCCGCTGGAACCACACACTCAGGCCGTCCTCCTGCAGCCGGTACAGCCGCTCCTTCTGCCACGTCCGCGAGCGGATCTTGCAGAGCCGGGAGCCCCGCAGCATGGCGTGCACGTCCTCATCCTCCGTCAGGCCTGGGGGCGCGGGACCGGGGCATTAGCGCCGGGCCCCCCAGCCAGGACCTCCTGCCAGGCTTCCCCCCGTGGGAGCTGTGGCCTCCCTCCCTGAGCCTCTTCAAACCCACACAGGACTCTCTCTCCTTAGTGGAACGTGCCCTCAATACCGGGTTTCACCCGAGGCTTGGTGCGCCCCACCCAGGTTCCCCTGGGAGGTGTGCCAGTCACAGGCCGTTCCCGGCAGCAGCAGCCCCAGGAGGCCCTCAAAGCGGAACCACCCCTCTGGCCGGTCGTGGGCCTCGGGCTGCGCGGTCGTCCTCTCTGCCGCCCTCCTCCAGGGCGGCCTCCGGCCTCCAAGCCCAGCATCTGTGACCTCCTCACAGGATGTGAATCCCTGACCACCAGCAAGAAAGCAGCCTCCTTATCTAACCTAGATCTCTCTCGCTGCAACCCAAGCTCCTCACCGCTGCTTCCCCAAGGAGAAGGGACGGCAGAGGCCACGCTGGCTCCAGGATCACAGATCAAAGCCTCCAGGACCTGCCTCGGCTGACCAGAGGCCGCTCTCCCGCTGTCCTCTTGGTGCCCCGGTGGGGCCCCGCTGAAAACACCGTCTCCTGTGACCGCCGGCGTCTGCCCAGCCACCGTCACCACCCCTCTGCCCACGTGTGCTCTCTGGCCACAGTGTCCGCCTTCCCTAACAAAGCGAAGTGCTTACAACGCACCTACGGCGCACGCCCCGGGCCCTGCTCGTGTGTTAACACGCGAGGAAACAGGCAGGGAAGCTCCCGCCACCGGCTGGGGTTCTAAGGCACCGACGCAAGTGGTGGGAACAGGCTGCAGGCCCCGGAGGTCGGCTGCAGAGCACACGCCCCTGGGCACCGCACGGGACCCCTACCCCTCTGCTCCTACCGCCCCCTTCTCCCCTGCCCCACCCGCCCCTGGGCAGACGGGCAGGGAAGAGCAGCATTTAATTAGTTGTTTACTTTATATTACATTTATTCTAATTAAAAAAAAGTGCACCCATTTCTCCTACCCACCCCAACCACCAGCCCCACCCCCCTCAGGGAACCACCAATCTGCTCTTTGTATCCTGAGCTTGATTGTTTATTTTATTTATTTAGTTTTAGATTGCACAGATCAGAGAGACCACGTGGGTATTTGTCCTGCTCTGTCTGACGTGTGACACTCAGCACAGCGCCCTCCAGGTCCAGCCATGTTGGGGCGAAGGGCCAGAGTTCGTTCTTTTTCGTGGCTGAGACCGTGTACCGTAGACATACACCACATTTGTGTGTGCACTTCTCTCAGCGGACACTTAGTTTGCACCTTGGCTATTGTAAATAATGCTGCCACAGGTACAGGGGCGCATCTGTCTTTCTGAGTTCGTGTTTTCATTTCCTTTGGATAAATACCCAGAGGTGTGAACGCTGGATCGTCGTAGGACAGTTCTTTTAGTTGTTCCCAGGAAACTGCACACTGTTCTCCACAGGGGCTGCTCCAGCTCCCGCTCCCACCAACACCAAGTTCCCCTCTCCCTGCGTCCTCGCCGATACTTGTCGTTTCTCGTCTTTTGGATGACAGTCCCCCTCCCAGGCGGGAGGCGAGATTCTGGTTTTGGTTGGCGTTTGCCTGGTGGTCAGGGACGCTGAGCTGCTTTGCACGGACCTGATGGCCAACTGTGCGTCTTCTTTGGGAAAATGCCCAGTCAGATCTTTTGCCCAGTTTTAAATTAGATTGTCCGTTTATTTATTTATATTTTTTGCTATGGAGTTGTTGGAGTTTTTCAAATATATTTTAGATAATAGCCCCTTATCAGATAAATGACCTGTAAATATTTTAGAAGGAGCAGAATTTCCATGCAGCCTTCTGGGGAGTCAAGTCCTAACTCACTTCCCAGGAGCGCAGCCTTGGTGGCACCAACCTGTGACCGTTCTAAGCCTCTTGTTCTCCATTCGTTCGCCGGAGACCACAGTAGTGCCTGCTGCAAAATCCGAAACCCGGCCAGGGTGCTGCCCGCCCTGCTTGGGCCCGCCTCTGCGGGGGCCGGAACCGCAGGTCTAGGCGTCTGGGGACAACTGTGGGAGCCCGGCGAACCCTGGGGCCCACACCCTGTGGGAGGAGGTGGGCAGCCGGAGGTGGACGAGGGCCCAGAATTTTCAGAGAACCAAAATCTGGGTTTGTAGTGAGGCCTCCTCCTTTTTCAAGGTTCACAACTGAATCAAATTGAAACAACGAAAACCCCAAAACACCACTGTGTGGGCCTCTTGTCCTCCCTTTATTTCAACGAGCCCCCCCAAACTGGGTTTGGTGTAGGCTGTGTGCCCCAAGGCCCCTGCGTGCCCGGCTGTGGACCCTGGAATCGGGTCTGAATCCCTGGGCCCTCCTCTCCCTCCCCCTCCCCCCCTCTACCCCCCCCCCTCTCTCTCTCTCTCTCTCTCTCTCTCTCTCGTGCTTCGAAGTACCCTCCCTCTTCTGCTCCTCAAGGTCCAGGGCAGATACGACCTCCTCCAGGAAGTCTTAACAGCATGTTTTGCTTTAATTAAAACAAACAGACATCCCGCCTACACTGTCATTTCAGGGGGCTTGCATAAACTCAAGGGCAGGGATGAGACCGAGGCCCTCGCCCCAGCGCACGCCCGAGAGCCAGGCCCGCAGCCCGTGCTCTGACAGGGGCGGTGGAAGGACAGACAGCTGTGGGTACTGAGAGCACCGCCCCCAGCCCTGCCCCTTCTGGCCGAGTTCAGAGCTGCGGCCTCGTGGGTCCGGGTTCTCAGCCCCAGCTGTGCCTCACTATCACCTGTGAGAGGCCGCAGAGCCCACGGGCCCGAGATTCTCATCAAGCGGGAGTGGGCGGGGGCCTGAGCACCTGTGTGTTTAAAAATCCACCCTGAGACTCTGAGGGCAATCGGGGTATCGGGGGCAGGAGAAGTCTGCCATCCTTAGGAGGCTGAGGTCCCCCCTGAGGCCAGCCTGTGGCCCCAGTGGCTCCAAGGGGGTTTCTCAGGGTTTAGACCGTGGCCCTCTGGACGCGTCAGTGCCCACTCGGTGCCCCCTAGCCGGGAAGGGCAGGTGGCATGTAGCACACACCAGGCCAAGAGGCTCAGCGGGCCCTCAGACCCCCATCCCCACATCTGGGCAACCTCTGAATTCTCTCCTCCTGAGACACAGTGCCGGGGGGGGGGGGGGGGCAGGATGGTCAGGGGAACCTGCCACTGGGCCCAGCGCCCTGCCCTGCCCCTCCTCAGCTGCAAGGAAAGGGCGCTCATCTCCGTGACTACCAGACTCTGCAGCTGCAGCCCCTCCCCGACCCCGCCAGCCCTCCGAGGCAAAGCCCAAAGGCTGGAGGGCAGGTTGGAAGGGAGGGGCGCACAGTGAGTGACTAAGGCCAGAAATGGAGCTGAGTCACCGGGGCCTGCTGTGTCCAGAGCTGTCTGCAAACAGGACCGGAGACGGGGCAGCCCGAACTCTCTACCAGCGCCCCCGCTGGGACACGTTCCCACGCTGAGGAGGCCCCTGCTTCTGGCCTCGGCCCAGCCGCCCCATGGAGCTGCAGTCTGTCCACCCAACAGCCGCTGGCCCCCGGGCCACACCGCCTCTTGGGCCACACCGTCCCTCAGTGGAAAAGCCAAACAGAATGAGGGTGTAGGGCCGGGCTGGGCCCGGTGCTGAGTCTGCTTCCCATTGCTTGAGCCTCTGAACCGTGGGGTAGTGAGGGGCGTGGGGTGGCAGACAAAAGGGGCGGGACCAACAGCGGTGAGGGGGTGCCCCAGGTCTGGGCAGAGATGCCGGGAAGGGCCTGGCTCTCTGCCCAGCTGCCCAGTAAACCTTCGCAGGTCCCGCCAAGCCCGAACCCAGGCGTCTCCTCCACCTCATTCCTACCTGCTCCAAGCAGGCGCACGAGCGGCCCGCCTCCTGTGATTTCTGGGGGCTCTCTGTCCCTCCGTGTCCCCCTGGATGCTGGGCTGGCAGCACCATGGCTGCCTGGACCGAGCAGGCGGGGGACAGATTGTGACATGACAGCAGGAACAATGAGGACAGACAATGGCCGGAGTGTGGAAACCAGCCGGGTGTCCGCTGACGAACAGACAAGCATTGTCCATACAGTGGAATATTATTCCAACATAAAGGGAGCGAAATATGACCTAAGCTGCAAGGATGAACCTCGAGAACATCATGTTGGCCCTGGCTGGGAAGCTCGCTGGGTCAGAGCATCGTCCCAACACGCCAAGGCAGCGGGTTCAATCCCCGGTCAGGGCGCACACACAAGAAGCCACCAGTGAATGCACGAGTAAGCGGAGCAACAAATCAACGCCTTTCTCTCTCTCTCTCCCCTCCCCCCTCCCCCCACCTTCCCCTTCTCTCTAAAATCAATACATAAAAACATAAAATAACAAAACAAAACATGATGCTAAGGGAAATAGGCCAGACCCAAAATGACACACGTTGTACGATTCCATTTACATGAGGCACCTACAATGGTCAGAGTCATAGAGACAAATCGGATGTCACTTATACTTCAATTAAAAAAACACCCGAGGCAGAAAGTGGACTGGAGGCCCAGGGGCCGTGGGACGGAAGGAACAGGGAGTTACTGCTGGATGATTGCGCGTTTCTGTTTAGGGCGACAGAGAAGTTTCTAGGCTAGATATCACACCGTTGTGAACTGTAAATAATGCCACCGAAAAAGCCACTTAAAAGTGGTTCCCATGACCAATTGTATATTATATACCTATTTCAACACGATGTTTAAAGAGCCCTGATGTGCTATGTCAGAGCCCACTGCACACGCTGAGTGGGTGAATGCGCAGTGTGAGGACTCCGCAGAGAAGTCGAAGAGGCGTGGAGTGGCCGACCCGTCCCGGGGCGGGGCGAGGAGGAGCCGGAATGCCCGAGAGCCGGGGCCGCCTGACCCCAGTGAGGGCCCCAGTGAGCTAAAGCGCATAAACACTCCATCCAGGGCCTGGCCCACAGCGGGCTCCCGGTAAACGAGCACAAAGAACGAAGCCGGGCCGCGGCCCGGGAGGGGCGGGGGGCCCAGGTGTGTCCCACCACGTCTGTCCCCCTCGGCCCCGCGGCCTCCAGCCGGCCCCTTCCCTTCCTTCCCAGCGCAGACAGAGGGCAGGGTGCAGAGAGCAGGGTGTGGGAGGAGTGGTAGGTTTCCGGTGAGAGTGTGTGCAGGGTGGTGTGTGCATACAGGGTGTGTGCCCTGGTGTGTGTGTGTGTGTGTGTGTGTGTGTGTGTATGTGTGTGTATGGGGCTGGCGGGCGGGAGGAAGATGGGTCGGCCCGGGAAGGAAAACAGACCGTGTGTGTGCGCGCGCCAGTGCACACTCAGGAAGCGCACACGGGGCTCCAGCAGGAATGTGAGACGCGCAGGGAACCGCGGCAGCCGACAGCTTCATGCCAATGGGGGAAGGGGAGACAGAGCAGCTTTTCCTGGCGGCTGGGGCCACGGGGCTCTGGAGGGGACACACAAGGGCGAGGGGCCCCAGACATCTTCCCAGCCAAATCCTCTAGCCCACAGGCAGCCCCGGCACGGGCACCGCAGGCACCGAGCGTGCCCCCCTGGCCCCCGCTTGCTGCCACACCCAGGGCGAGAGCCCAGCAGAGCTCCGCGCCAGAGTCCACAACATTCCTCGGAGAATCAAAATAGCGAGGAAAGGCGGGTGGCGCTACCCCTGCCCCTGGGCCAGGCACGGTGACAGGAAGCTGGCAGCACCCTGCCTGGCGGGCCTGGAACAGGCGTGGGGCTGGTTTGGGGGCTGAGGTGGTGGGCGGGGACTCGCCAGAGCTGAAGAAGGAGAAGAGGCTGAGGTGGGGGGGAGGGGGTCACAAGGCAGGGCACAGTCAGCCCCCCTGCAGTCCTGCCTGGAACGCTCCTGCCCAGCCAAGAGGGACGCCCTGACCGCCCCCCGCTCCAGCCCACCAGGCCAGGCACCCACCAGCACGGGGGGCCGCTCTGCAGACCCCCACCTGCCAGCCAGGACAGCCCCACTCACCCCGCAGCAGACACCCTGGGCAGCCCATCGGCGGACCCTTCTGCCCTGTGGCACCGGCCGTGCGTGCAGGCCGGGGAGGGCGGGGAGCGGGCTCCTGCCCACTCAGGGCTCTGCTCACTGGGCGGATTAGGGACAGGGACAGGGTGGGGGCGGGCGGAGCTCCCAGTCAGAAAGGGGTTCTGGGAGACGGGGTTGTCAGATAAAAGTCAGGGTGCCCGGCTAAAGGCGAATTTCCAATAAGCCCCGAAGCCTATTTTAGTATAAGTTGTCCCAAATCACTCGTTTATTTGAAATTCCCATTTAACAGGGCATCCTGTATTTCATTTGGTGAGCCTATGAGGGCACCCCTGGGGGCTGGCGGGGCCCTCCCCGGGAAAACTCGCTCATCCATTCATCGCGTTCGGGGTCTGGCCTCTGGGCCGGACTGCCTGGGCTCACGTCCCCCCTCAGCCACTTCCCGGCTCAGAACCTCTCTGAACCCCAGTCTCCTCACGTGTGAGACGAGGCTCATCCCATCGCCTCCCTCACGAGATCCTGAGTGTTGAATGAGCTAACGTGCGCCACGCCTCGGCCCAGCGTTGCAAAGGTGCGGATTGGTATCCCTGCATTCTGGCAGTGGAGAGACACCATGGAAATCTAGGCTTCGGCGGCCGGCGGGCAGGCAGGCAGGGCAGGCAGAGGCTGCGTGGCCTGGAGCCAGCGACTGCACCCCTCACCTCGAGCTTCTCCTCTGTGGGGCGAGGACAGCGGCAGTGCCTTCCCCTCGGGGCCGACGCTGCCGGGATTACGCCCCACCTGGGCTGATGCGGCCTCAGCACCTGGCCGACCTATGGCAGGTGCTCTCGGGGCTCTTCTCCCCCCTCTTCGGCTGTGCCCTCGCTTCCCGGGGGGTGGGGGGCGGTGGGCCGAGGCGGCAGCCATCGTGGGGCAGGGACAGGAGAGGGACCCCGGGCTCCACAACTGACTCCCACTCAGCGGAGGTGGCCCTGCCCCCCTCCTCCCCCTCGTCCTGGTTCTCCCAGTGTGGTCCTAAAGGCCCTTGGTTTTTCAGGCCCCCCCGCGCCTCTAACCTCTGAGCCACTCCCTGACCAAGTATCTATCTCTCCTGACCTGATCTGAAATAAAATACGTTCTGTTAGCCTAAGGGGTGTGGCCACGGCCATGAGGGTCATCTCGGGATTACCGTGGAGGTGAGTCGGGGCCTGGGTGTGGACGGGCCGAGGGCGTGGGCCCCGGACACCTGGGCTTCCTGGTCGCCCTGTCCCGAGACTCAGTGGGGCCGGGGAAGGGGCATTCCCCCCACACACTGGACATTCCTCTCTGAGCAGTCACGCAGCAGGACACGGCAGTGGCGAGGAGGCAGGGTGGCCAGGTGACATTCTGACACCCACACAGTGTGACGGTGTCACAGTGACGGTGTCCCGTGCCGTCTTACACAGCCTGGGCTCGGCTGCAATTATTCGTTTACACGTGACTCCTGCCACTGAGCTGTGCGCCCCCTGAGGGCAGGGCACTGTTATTCGTCCCCGAGGCCCCAGCCCCTGGCCCTGCCCCGGTGCCCTGATGGGGCTGAGCAAGCGGGGGCAGAATGGAGAGGCAGACAGGTGTGCAGGCCCGCCCCTCTGCCCGCCCCCAGCAGCCAGAGCCTGTGGGAGTGGCTGGCCCCTCTGGCTCTCTTCAGTGGCACTTCAACTCCCCACGGCCTTCCCCGTCTCCCCAGGCCACCACGGCTCCTCCGCCCAGAGGACGGAGGACACTGACACCCGCCGGAGACACCTGTCCAATCCCGCCGACTGCAGGGTCCAGCCCAGTTTAAATCCTAGGTGGTCCTGGAATCCGTGTCCGCTGCACCAGCCCAAGTCTGCCTGCCCAGCTCACCCTCAGCCTCCCTCCTACGGGTCTCTCCGTCTCAGCCCTCCCTGTCTCACCCCTGCCTTCATCCAACCCAGCCCTGCTGGGCACAGCTCCTGCCCTCCAGAGACAGCCCCTGTAAGGAGGGGCCTTGAGATCGGGCCCTCCCTGCCTCTCCCCTTTTGCCTCACCCCGGTCTCTGGCTCTTGGGTGCAGCCAGAGCCCTCGCTGCTTCCTCAGCACCTCACTTGCCCCTCCCCTTCCTAGTCGCCTGTCTTTGCTTCATTGTCTGACCCCCTTCCTGGTACTCAGGTCTCCAAGGGCCAGGGCTGTGCCTGTCCTATTCGTCGCTGAACCCCCAGGGCAGAGCATACGACAGGCACTCAATGAGTGTTTGTTGAATGCATGCCTGACTGATGGAGGGAGGGCGGAGATCACGTCCTACGTCTTCACGAGGAGAATGCCAGTCATGTTGGTAGAACATAGGGCTCAATAAACTCAATGGAATGAGTGACAGGAAGTTGCAGTAAGAAAAGCTGGGCAAGCCCTGGCTGGCGTAGCTCAGTGGATTGAGCGTGGGCTGCGAACCAAAGTGTCGCAGGTTCGATTCCCAGTCAGGGCACATGCCTGGGTTGCAGGCCACGGCCCCCAGCAACCGCACATTGATGTTTTTCTCTCTCTCTCTTTCTCCCTCCCTTCCCTCTCTAAAAATAAATAAATAAAATCTTAAAAAAAAGAAAAGAAAAGGGGGGTAGAGCACAGTAGCACAAAGAAGGCAAGACTGGCAATTGGGACGTCTGAATTCTGCTCCCGATTCACGCCGGTCTCCCGGGCAGCCCTGCCCGCCTGCCCCTTCCACTCCCCCCACCCCGTGTCTGTGTCTCCATCATTCACTGTTCTCCCAACGGCGGTTCTGACCCACCAGTGTCACAGCACTTCACCTTTGACAAAGTACTCACACCTGTGCTGCCGTCTCTCAAGCCACCTGACCACCTAGGCAGCCCCCCGCTTTCCCAGACGCGGAGGGGACCAGGCGCCGTGTGGAGTAACACTGCCTGCGGGCCAGCCTCTGCCTCTTACTAGCTGTGGGGTTGTACACAAATGCCTCAACTTCTCTGAGCCGGTGTCCTCGTCTGCGACACGGGGACTGTACCCTCTACCTGTCGGGAAGGTGAAGACTGGACGACACCACACGTGGAACTACCTACCCAGTGCTGCCTGTCTCTGGAAGATGCTCAATAAGCCACAGTTCTGTTCCCTTCCCCCAGGGGTTCTCCCCAAACCTGAGATGGGAACTCTGGCTTTCCGAGACAGTGTTCTCACCGGTTAGAACAGTCCCACCAGCGCTGTGCTGCTGCTGCTGCTGCAACCCCTCTGGGGGCTGCCAGGTTGGAGGGCTGGCTTGAGAGGTCAGTCTCGTCCACGACCCTTAGGCCCTTCTAAGGGCGGCCAAGAACCCGGGGTGCCCTGGGACCCTCGCAGACCCCGGAAGGCGAGGGGCGTTGGAAAGGTGGCCGCCCCAAGCCTGTCTCCCTCTCCCCTCTCCGGCCCTCAGGGACCCCCAATCGGCACCCCTCGCCCAGGCTCTCACTCCAGCACGCCCCGCGGCCGCCTCCTGGTGGGAAACAAAGGCCATACCGGGCGCCAAGCCTGGGCCTGGGGACCGCGGGTGGCCGCAGGTGCGACCCCCAGATGGAATGATTCGGGCTTTGCACACTTCGCCACGACCCCCTACAGCCTGGGAAGCCCCCTAGCGGCTCGCCGGAACGCTCCGCCCCCCGCCCCGCCCCCCAGGTCTGCGCCGTGGGAGACAGTCCGTGCCCACCCGAGCCGCCCCCTCCGGTCACTGACCCATCTTCTTCAGCGCTCGAAGCCCGGGCCTCTTGGTGCCGCCGTCCTGGGGCGCCGGCGGGGACGGGAGCACGACGGACGCTGCGACCTGGGCCGGCCCCGGGGGCTCCCGGCGCCGGCAGCTCCTCCAGCGGCTCCTCCAGTGGCCGCACAGCATGCCTCGGCGGGGGCCGGGGCCGAGGCCGGGGCCGGGCCCTGTGTCTACGCGCTGGGACAGGGCAGCGGGGGCGCCGCTCCGGCCCGGCCCGGGCTCTGCGCGGTTCCAGTCGAGGAAACTTAGCGGCGCCGGGAGGGAGTCGGAAGGAGTAGGTGTCGGGAGGAGGGAGAATAGAAAGGACGAGGTTCTGGGAAGGAGGGACACAGAGGGAGGGGGCGGGGCGGAGGATCGAGCAAGGGAGGTGCGAGGGGAGGGGGCGGGGACTCCAGGCCCAGAAGGGGTCGGGGGAGGGGGCCCACCCGAGTCGGCCCCCTTCCCCCGAGTCTCCGTTTTCCGCCCCTGCTCGTGACTCCCCATTTGCCAAGCGGATCCCAGCCTCGTCGGTGACCGGAACCTCCATTAGGGGCACCGGAGGAGGGGACGAGGGTCGTCCTCCCGCACAGACACCTTTCCCGGGGCCCCGAACTCAGCACAGACTCAGGACTCCTCCCCACCTTCCCCAGTCCCACCCGGAGGCCTCAGAAGGGAGCCAGGGGGAAGACGGGGTCTCCAGGGCGACTCGTCCCGGGTCAAGGGTACTGGGTCCCGGAAAGCCGATAGGGCCCTGGGAGCAGAGCCGGGCGGGAGGGCAGCCCGAACCGGAGGAGCTGGGGAGCGGGAAGTGGTGGGTGGGTGGGGGCGCAGGAGGGCTCATGCTGTGACCTCCTAGGATTAACCCTCTCAGCGCCCGGCCAGTGGCCGACCCCTCGGTTGTAGGAGTCTCGAGAGGTGGACTGGTCTGGAGTCTACAGTCGTTGGCAGAACTGGGTTCTGGGGTTCGAGGCTTGTGTGTGTGTGGGGGGGGCGGGGGGTTGACACCCTCACCGGGACCTTAATCGTCCCGGGACAGCCGCTGCACTCTGCATACATGTCAGTAACATCAACCCACGGTGGAGCGTCGAGTGCGGATTCTAGTGACAGCGTCCAGTATGCACTTACTGCATGTAAAACCACTCGCGCACTTGTGCATGAAGGGTAGGATGGACAGGTGACTGCATGTGCGCGCACGTCTGCGTTGTCCATTGAACGTGCTCTGGCTCGGGGGCGAAGACCTGGTCGCCCGCTGCCACTCCCCGCGGCCATTCCGCAGCGGCCCAGAGCGTGACATCGGCACATAGATTTACTAACTTTTTGCCTCAGGTTCCGCCCTATTTTTAAATATCCTGGACTCAGATTCCACATGCTGGTTTGGGTCCCCGTCCCTCTCTGGATATTCTTTCTGGGATGTCAAGTGTTCGCCTCTGCACTTTTGATCCTGCAATTCCTCCCTCCAGAATGACCTTCCTCATTCTTCTCCTGGCTTAAGCCTTCCGAAACAGCCCCGAGGCCCCTGCTCCAGAACTCCAGACGCCGGGACAGGACTCCCTATTGTATCCACAGCTACTGGTGTCTGAAGAGACCTGGGCTCAGCTGACAGACGTGATTCCACCAGGGGGCGCGAATGCTCCGCGTTATTTCAGTAAGTCCACCAGGAGGCGCTTCCGCCCGCCTCTGGCAGCGCAGGGCAGGATTCGGCCCGCCTGATTGGGAGAGGCGCAGCTAACTATTTGCATAATCTTGAAAGGGCCTCGCTGAGTGGCTGGGGTGTAAAAGCCGAATCTAAGATGGGCTCTCTCATTGGCTTAAATTCCCCTTCGCCCCGCGTCCCCATCCCGGCCACACTGGGCCGGGAGGTCAGTAGGAAGCTTTCGGCTAGTGGCGAGAAAGGACCCAGGGTACGGGCAGGGGGCTCTGCGGGGTGAGTGCCGGGCTGCCGGGCCGGGGTGCGGAGGCCGGGGTGGGAGGACTGTTCGCCCACCTGACTCCTCTTGGCTCGCCCATTCCCTTGTCTAGGAGTTGGAGATGATTTAAAGGGGCACTGAGACCCCTTACCACCTACTTCTCTACCCAGCCGCCGAGGACGGCGCTACCCACCCCAGCCGTACCAACGCTGCCTTGGGGTAGAAAAAGGAGTCTCCAGGCACAGCTTCTGACCTCCACGGGTATCTCAGGCCTCTCAAGAGCTTAGTTTGCCCCTCTGGAAAGTGGATCAGTGGCTTACGGAGGTGCATGCCGGGGTGGACTCTGGAGGTCTGCTCACATAGAGGCTTGTTCTTGCAGAGTTGCTCAAAAGTAGGGCCTCGGTGCTCAGAGCAGCTGGGAATGGGTACCAAGAATGAAATCCCAGAACCGGAGTGCCAGGAACAGTTCCAGGCCGCGGTCAGAGTCATTCAGAACCTGCCTAAGAACAGTGATGGTGAGGGCACCGGGACCTGCATTGGGGGGTCAAGGTGGCTGGGGTCTGCCTCCCAGGAGGTTCTCATCCCTCCAGTTTTTGCGGACAAGTCTCTGCCTGGGTCACTCGGTGGGTCCCCTCTGCCTCCTGCGCCTGGTAGAACGCTTACCATCTCTGCCCTCTCCTAGGGTGGCTCTCCCCCCCACCTCCATCCTCTTGGAGCTGGGGGTGATGCTCTGCCCTCCACTTCCCAACTTCCTGCCCAGGCTATTACCGCCCCTCCTATGAAGAGATGCTTCGATTCTACAGCTACTACAAGCAGGCTACCATGGGGCCCTGCCAGGTTCCCCGGCCTGGGTTCTGGGACCCCATTGGACGATATAAGTGGTGAGCTCCCTACTGGCTGGGCAAACAAGCCTCAGCTGTCAACCAGCTTCTCATAGCTCTCTGCCCTCAGGGATGCTTGGAACAGCCTGGGCAAGATGAGCAGGGAGGAGGCCATGTCCGCCTACATCGCTGAGATGAAGGTGGTGGCACAGAAGGTAGGGAGGGACACGCTGTGGGCTCCTCTCTGTCCCTAAGCTCCCAGCTAGGTGGCCTGCCCCTCGTCCTTCCAGTGCTGCTCCCATTATGTTTCCTGACGTGGGCCCCGGGTTGGAATTACCACCTTCATGCTGTCCCCTCAGCCCTGTCTCTGGCCTCTGACCGGGCACAAGGTGGAGGGTAAGCTGGCAGGAGCAGGGTGGAGGGGCCCAGCTCAAAGGGACAGGGGGCAGGGGTGAAGGGGCTAGCTACTCCCTCAGTATACCTTATTCCCCACAGGTGATTGACACAGTGCCACTGGGTGAGGTGGCGGACGACATTTTCAGTTACTTTGAGCCCCTGTACCGGCTGATCCCTGACATGCCAAGGCCCCCAGAAACCTTCCTGAGAAGGGTAACAGGTCAGGCCCCAGAATGGGAGCTCCACAAGTGCTGAGTGAACTGTCACAGGTTCAGGCTGAAGGGGCTGCTTAGCTGGAGGGGGATCCGGGGGCAGAGGGCTTCAGGTGATCTCCCTGTAAGGACCCCAGCCACTGCCCGAGATGGAGCGGGTTTCAGGCAGAGTCCGTGTCTAATGGGAAACCGAGGTCTGATCTCACTGGGAGGTGCCAGCCTTTTACCACCTGCATCCTTGGGTGCTGTGTCTGTGCAGGTTGGAAAGAGCAGGTACTGAATGGAGATGCTGGCGTTGCCCCAGAGCCTCCCTGCCTCCTCAAGGAACCAGCAACCCCAAGCCCAGGTCAGTGGCTGGGCAGGAGGGGCAGAGGGCCAAATGCAGGCCAGGGTTGGGGAGACCTCCAGGTAGGTGAAAGGGAGGCTGGGTGCTATGCTGTGCCCCTCACACTGCACGCCCACAGACAGAGAACTCCTATGCTCCAGGGGAAGCCAGGGGGAAGGTTCTGGAACTCCTGTTCCAGGGCCTCGTATCTGGGACCCATCTGTGCCTCTTGCAACAGTATCTCTATTGCCTCTGCCCAGTGCTTCGCTCCTCCCCTCCCTCCATAGCCTCCCTCTTGTCGCTAACCTCCCTACGCCCTCCCTAGAGTCTCCGCCACCCAGGGACCTGGACTCTGAGGTTTTCTGTGATTCTTTGGAGCAGCTGGAGCCTGAGCTGGTGAGCTAACCCCTTGTCCCCTCCTTCCCCTCCCTACTGCACCCCAGTTGCTCTCACTGCTCCCTTGGGACCTTGTAACTCACCTTGCCAGGTCTGGGCAGAGCAGAAGGGCGCCCCTGGAGGAGAGCCCGACAACAGAGACAGCCCCGTGCCCCCAACAGAGAAAGGTGAGCCACTGCTTGACCCTTAACCCCCTTCTGCCCTTCCCCATGGTTCTAGTGCCCCAGGCCTCCCCCTGGCTGCCCTCTTGGGGCAGAGATGAAAGTCCAGCTCGGCACTGGAGAGAGCAGCCTCTGCCCAGGAAGGGTTGCCAAACAGCCAGATGCCAGCCTGGATGGGCAAAGTCCTTGCCCCCCCTCCTCTTGCTGAGGGCCCTCAGTCAGGAGCCATCAGGCCCTGAGTAAGGGCAGCTGGGGCAGGAGGGGTTAGCCCCACCCACAGCTATGGGTGCACGGCTTTGGGAGTCATTCTCTTTCTCTGGGCCTCCTGTTTGGGACTCTCAAAGGACAACAGTGACTTCTGCCCTGTCCCTTTCTATAGTTTCCAGTGTGCCATGTCCCATAAAGGGCACTTTTCATAAATATTCTTTTGAACCAGCAGCCCTGTGAAGGGGATGACAAGGTCTCCTAATCTTCAGATGACAAAATGAGGCTCAGAAAAGTTACTGACTTGCCCAAAGTGGCACAGCTACCCTTGGTGGCCGGTTACTCAGCCATGCGGACGGGCTCTACCAAAGTCACACTTGGTACAAAGGGTGGTGCCCTGCTCTCAACTTTCTCCTGGGCTGGCCCCCGCCTGCCCCCACCCTCCCCTAGCTGAGTTCCTCCTGAGTCCTCCTCCTTACGTGTCTGCTCTCCACAGAGGGGCTGAAAGGCAGCCTGCCCGGGCCCCAGGAATTGGACACGTGGCTGGTGGGGACAGTCCGAGCACTGCAGGAGAGCATGCGGGACGTCCAGGGGAGGCTGCAGAGCCTGGAGAGCATGCCTGGCCCCACGCAGGTGAGCCCCTCTCCCCCAAGACCCAGGGCAAGGTTGGGGCAGAGCTCCGAAGGCCTCTCTTCCGGGCTCTTCTTCCAGCCACTTCTCTGAACCCACACCTCCACCTGCCCACGCTTGCCTCCTCTGGAGAACCGTGTAACTCTCCAGCAGGGAGCTCAGGCATCTGAAGTGCTTCCTCCTGGGAGAGTGGGGAAGCACGACCCACCCCGCCCTTTGCCTGCCCTGCCTCCTGCCCTGCCTCCCTTTGCCTGAAGAGACACTGAGCAGGGGAACTGATTCCAACAGGATGTGTCTGCTCTTTGCATTGGGGCTGGGGGCCCCTGTTGCTCCTCAGTTAGGACTTCTGTTCCCAGATTTAGGGTTTACCCCCAAACAATTCAGCCCTTACATCCCTTACTCCCTCCCCTCAACCAATCCCCAAGATCCGTTTGCCCCTTATACCTCAGCCTCTCGCATTTCTGAAGTCCCGGCTGTGTGCTAAATACCATTAGTTGCATTAGCTCACGTACTTCACAAAACGACCCTAGGAAACAGATGTGCATTTCCCTGTTACTGAGGAGGAAACTCAGGCTCTGAGAGGCTGAGTGACCGACCTGGCGGCACACAGCCTGGAAGAAGCTCACAGAGCTGCTGTGCGGGTTAGATGAGGTCATGCATATAGGTGCTTCTCCAGTGCCTCCTGGAATGTGGTTCATTGTTATTATTAGCATTATTAGCAGCATTAAGTGACAGAGCTGTACTAGTATTAGTAGCATTAAGTGATAGGTCCTAGGTTTCTCTCCGTCCAAAACTGACACCCACCACCACCTCTGAGTGGGTCTGTTCTCGAGGAGCCTGGGGTGGTGGGGGCAGGCGAGGGCTGAGTTGCTGGACAAGGGGGTCACTTGGGTGACCCCTGGTACCCCTGGCACAAGGAGTATCAACGAAGGTGACAGGAATTTCCTTACATCTACGGTGGCTAACATTTCAATGCCCCCTTCCCTGGCTTTTTAAAAATTTTGTGTACCTTTTCCTAATTGTATATGCTGACAGCTTTAAAGATTTCCACCCTGAAATACTTGGGTCTGCATCTCTAGAAATAAGAACACTCCACTACCTCATTTTATCACACTGCGTGCCTTCATGCCATCACTTGGCCAGTCCAAACCTCAGTCTCTCCCCTTCCAGCTGCTCTGTCTGTCCGTCCAGCCCAGGAGCACATGCTGCAGCTGGTTCCTGTCCTTTCAAGACCCCTGTAGTCCAGACCAGTCCATGTTCCTTGCTGTCGACTTGCTGATGAGACTCAGCCAGTGGTCCTGTAGAGATGTCTCATTTTTGGGGGGCTGCCTGCATCCTGGTGTCTAGTTCACATGACCAGGTTTCATGAGAGGTGAGGTCCTTCACACCAGGGGATGCGTATCCGGATGTACGCCCATGAGGGATTCTAACGTGGACCACTCCCATGGACGAGGGCTGACAGTCTCACCCCACCACTGTGAAGCTGTTTTGCTCGTGGAAGAGGAGCCAGGGAAGGTCCGGCTCCCTGTCCAGCCCGTTTCTCACATGGGCTTGGACAACACTTGATAGGCAATCCTTGTCTAAATCAATAATTTATTTAGTGGTTGCCAAGGGAGTTTACTTTTAAATTCTTTTATTCCTTTAAAACTTATTAGCTGTTATTTTCAAGTAGTTGCCTTGATCGAGGATTTCCCTGAAATACAGTGTCTTATGAAAAAGCAGAATAAGTGCTTAATCCTCTTTAATTCTCTTTAAAGTAAGGAGTTGCTTTAACAGCCTCAGTGGTGACAAATCTCCAACCTGCCCCCTCTTTGGGTGTCAGTGCGGACTCACGGATTTCACACTCAGTGTTTCAGGCAGCCCCAGCCACCCTTCTTTTCGGTGCTCAGATTGTCACAGCTCTGGTCCGAGGAGACCCTTCGGGTTGGGGCCTGTCGTGACCTCGCTCATGCCTAAAAGCTTCCTTGCTTTCTGGCACAAGATGTCCCACATTCACCTCTGCCTTTCCTGCCCCAGACCTGGAACCAGCCACTTCTCCAAGGAGCCCTGGCTCCTTTGAGCAAAGAATATTTAGAGACTGAAATCGGAGCACTCAGATCCTCATTTGAAATATGCGGCACATCCTTTACAATGCGGGGTCTCAGGCCACACCAGCAGGGCCACTGCTCTGCGGCCCAGAGGAGACAGCCCAGAAGTCAGTCCTCCACCCCACCCCCCTGCAGCCCCTCCCTCTTCCAGCCCTCTGGGCACCTGGACTGTCCTGGAAGGAGGACATGGGAGTGAGTGGAGCTAATCTGTCAGGGACACACCAGGAACCCCAGGATCCCTTCCCTTCTAGTGGTGCGGATATGGGGGTAGGGGCTTCTCTGACCCAGTCCTCACAATCTTGAGGAAGTGGAAGCTCCCACTGAGTTCTGCAATCGGGTTCCTAAGGAGGGCCCAGTCAGTGCTGAGGCATGGGCTGGCCCCTGACTCCCTCCCTCCCTCCCTCTCGACAGCAGAGGCCCCCATCCGGTGCTCGGCCTTGGCCCCTCAGGCTCTCTGGTACTACGCTGCTCTTCTTCCTCCTGTGGCCCTTCATTGTCCAGTGGCTCGTCAGACAGTTTCGGACCCAGAAGAGGTGACTCTCAATGAAGGAGTCTCCGCAGCCAACAGAGGAGGCCGAGTCCCGTTCGGCCGTGCCCTGAGCCTCGCTGGGTTTAGGAGAACCACATTAATCCCCGCCCCCACACCACCACCACCAATCAGTGTTTGCCTTGGCACCCCACCCCTACTGGGGGAGGAACAAATAAGACCCCACCTTCCTCCCCCCCCCCCCCCACCGTAGCTTCGCTGGGATGCTTCTCCCCGCCCCCAACCCATCCCAGTTTTCCCTGGAAGGTTGCTTTTGCGGTGCACTTCTTGGGTTCTGGGTTGGCCTGTGACTCAGGGGCGGGGCTGCCGTGCCTCAGCCTCTGCCCTCCCCTCCCCACCCCCTAGGTCACCTGACTCCTCTACCCCAGCCTCTCTCTGTGGAGGCTTAGTTCTTGGGCAAGTTGGGACTTGGGCTGGGTCCTGGGATTGGTTGGCTGGGAGGCTTCGGGAGGGAGGCCAGGAGGCCCCGCCAAGCTGGGGGAAGGCAAGGGAAACAGGCCCCAGGGGAGGGGCGTGAGCTCCGTGTGCTAGCCTGCCTCTCCCCACACACACTCAGGACATCTTCGCGGAAGATTCGCTTACACATGAACGTTTCACTAAATAAAATAAAACCTTAATCTTCTGTCGTCAACGAAGTGAAGCAGAAATCGAGTCTGGAGCGCGCGAGGCACAGTCTCTTCCCCCCCATCCCTACCCCTTCGGACAGCACAAGACGCTACTGGTTGGTGTTTCTAAGGGAGGAAAACTGTCGCTCCTCTGTGGCCAAGTTTAGGAAACACAGAGCCCGAGGTCTTGAGAAAAGGCGGAAGCAGAGGAGAGGGGGGTGTCACCAGAGGGGGGGAGCTGGGGCTTTGTGGGGAGGGGCACAAGCCACACCCACCACAGGGTCCCGGCCAAGGGCTCAGCCCTACCCGCCCCTCCCTGTCCACCGCCCTGCGGGCCCTGGCGTTGCTCTGTCAGCACCGCAACACTGGGACGTCTCCCTGCTCCCCGCATTGAGCTTAGGGTTGGGGTCCCGACATCCTGGCCACAGAAGTACCCATTGCTCCCCCCTCAGCTGCTCGCTCCCGGTGCCCCCTTCCTGTGAACCCCATAGGGAAGGGACATTTCCCAGGGAACTTTCTGGAAGGTGAAGACCAAGCGGGAGCCTCCCCACGCTCCTGGCCTTCGGGGAAGGGAGCTGGGAGCCCCAGTCGGGAGGGCCAGAGCGCCTGTGTGGGCACAGACCTTTGGGTGATGCTGTCTGCTCGAGTACTGAATTTTCCTCACTGCCTGGCAACCCTGGCCTTCCTCTGGCCAGCACCAGCCCTGCTGTCTAGGCTGTGTTGGCGCCGCAGAGGCCACTGGCCAGGGTCTCTACCTGTGGAGGGCTGCAGCAGCCTTGAGCCCCCTGTAGCTGCCACCACCTGGGACCCAGGGCCTTTGTGCCCCGGGGTGAGAAAGAGGCAGTTCTGAAGGCCCTTCCTTGGAGATCCTTAAACTCCTGAGTTATCTGGGTCAACCCCTGTCCCTGCCAACTCTCCCAGGCTCGGCCATCACTTCCAGGCTTGGAAGCCGGCACTCTTTGATCCTCGCTCCTTTTCTCAAGGCGGCAACCCCCAGAACAGGCACGAGGCCCTGTGGCTCCACAGTTGGCCCCGTGTTACGAGCAACAGCAAGGCAGCGAGGCAGGGACCAGAGTGGTGCCAGGGAGGCAGGTGTGGGGCAGAAGCCAGCTCCACCCCTAGCGCACCCTAGTTGGATGACTTCCGCAGGACTCAGGCCCTGGGTTATCTTGTTGGCAAAATAAGGATGGTGATGTCTTTATGGTAAGGCAGTTCTGTGTTTAAAATGACCGGGGCATCCAAAATACCGGGCAAAGGGTAAAACACAGCTAACAGTAAGGTGCCTGACCTCCCTTTTGATAGAATTCTGGAATTCCACAACCTAGTAGTCTGGGCACCCCTCCCAGTGTGCCAAGTGAGCCCACACAGCTGAACCCCGTCCAGTAAACCGAGGCTGGGCTCAGCGGCACCTTCCAAAGCCCTGACTGAGAGTACACACTAGTCCTCTGGAGTCTGAAAACTCGGTGACAGACTGGAGGCCCAACTTCCAGGGTGAGGGGCAGCTCTTGCTCCTTCCTAAGGAACCATGTGTTTGACTGATGAAGCAGCACAGAAGGCAGACTGTTCAGATGGGCTGGAGTTCTCGGGAGCTCAGGGGAAACAGGCTGGGATGGTCAATTTAACACGTCTGGCTGTACCCCAGGGCCACTCCTGCGTGCCATCTCCTTTGGGGCCCCCCCCCCCCACCACTTTCTCACAGAACCAGTCCTGAATTCTCAGACTAGTCCTTTCTTTGGACATGATGCTTGCTCTTCATAAAATGCCTCTCCTTCATACCACTTTGCCCGAAAACGATTCAGCCTTCAGAGACAGCCATAAGTTACTTCCCCTTCAAACCTGTACGCAATTCCCAACTCCTAAGCAGCTTGGCTCACAAACCCTACTGGACTTTTGTCACTCGCCATTTTGGCTCACTGTGATTTGATGGCCTCTCTACACAGTCCATGAACAGCAAGGATGACATTACTGGTCCCTCCTTTTTTTTTTTTTTTTAAAGATTAAAAAAAAAATTATTTCTAGAAAGAGGGGAAGGGAGAATAGGAGAGAGGTATCAATGTGTGGATGCCTCTCGCATGCCCCCAGCTGGGGACCCGGCCCACAACCCAGGCACATGCCCTGACTGGGAATGGAATAGGTGACCCTTTGGTTCACAGGCTGGCAGCCAATCCACTGAGCCACGCCAGGCAGGGCATACCCTCCTCACAAATCTTTGTAAATGAAGGAGTAAGGGCCTGACTTAGGCTGAAGCTGTTAGGAATGTAAAGGAACTAAATGCAGAGTTCTTGAGAAAGAAGGGAATTTTGTGTTTGTGACTGCAAGAAAAATGGCACAGGAGGTCACAAAGACCTTCACACTAGCCAGAGTTGCCACTTAATTGTCATGTGATCTTGCACAAGTCACTTAGTTCCTATGAATCTTAGAAACTTATCTCTAAAATGGAGACAGTAATTCCGACCCTGCCTGGGCAACAGTGGAATGCAGTTGGAACGTCAGCCCTTGCTATTCAGGAAGAAATAAGAATGGGTCAATACGAATGTGGCAAAAAGGAGAAGTTAAGATTAAACCGGATTTTAGGCCTAAGTGATTAGGTCCAAAGGTTTGGGCTATTCCCAGGCTCTGTCCCTTGAGCAGATGCTTGGAATCTGCAAATTTTTCTCAAGAACAAGTTGTTTCTCTCTCCCCCTGAGTCTACCCCACAGTCATGAGCCAAAATCTCCTGCCCCCGTTTCTGGGCAAGGCCTCCTCCTTACTCTCTGGTTCTGCTTCCCTCCCGCTGTTGCCCAGTGATGAGGAAGAGCCTCTGTGGGTGATATCCCCTTCTCTCTTTCTCTCTGTTAGCCAGGAGCGATTATTTAAATTCATTATTAATTTCAAGCCCCTCCCCAAATACAAGGTTCACTGGAGCGACTTCCCTGTCCATCTCAGGTAATGCTCCAGGTGGGATTGGAAATGAACAGACCAAGACATCCCTAAGAGGCCATTTTCTTCGATGGAAGCTGAGGCCCTTGGGTGTCGCCTTCCCGCCTCGGGCTCCCAGGGAACTCCAGTCGCACACCCCCCGCTTCCTGGTTTCCGGCCCAGGAGAGAGGCTCAGTCGCGGCCCACCATTTTGCACTGATCCCTGGGGCGGCCGCGAGCCTAGGCTACATATGGCTGGACTCGGTCATTTTCGCCCATAGGTCTGGAGGCCAGTGTGAGGGTGGACGTCACTCAGGACTCGAACCTGCTTTCTCATCTTCTGAGGCCTAGTCCGAGATTGATTGCTAACAGTCACACTATCCCTTTAAGGCGGCACTTTTTATTCCTCATTTGTTTACTTCTTCATGCGCTTTTCCCTATTTCACAAAATATATTCAAATATCCGTCCGCAAACGTCAGTCCCAGGCACTAACCACACACTTTGAAACCATTTCTGTAATATTAAGAATCGAGAGTTACCGTCCCTGTGCCAACATATCTCTTTATTAGATTTAATTTTTTTTTCCATTTTAGGGACTACTTTTTAGGAATAAACCATTTTTTGTTATAGTTAACAAATGTTTATGACTTTCAGAACCCTTCCACTGAGAACAGAAAACGATAACAGGCTTTAAGACGCACCTTTTCATGAAAATATTCTGTGCGGGCCTTCTTAGATCATGGAATCTTCTCGTATTCCTGAAGGATAATGGTATGGTCCAGAACCCGCCCCATCTTCTCTGTGATTGGCATTCCTTCCTCCGCGATACTTGTGACTCTAAGCCAATGGTCGCTCACGTTTCTCCAGCGAGGGCTAAGGGATGGAGGAAGGTGGCCTGGAAGTCGCCCCCCACGCGTTCTGAGATTGGCTACGTCGCACGGCGCGCGAGGACGGCGGGCCCAAAAGATGGGAACTACGAGTCCCAGCTTCCTGCAATGGGGACCCCGTTACGCATGCGCATAGGCGGGGCGGACAAGCGTCTATATAAAAGTGGCGCAGAGGGCTGGGAGACAGCAGTTGGAAGTTGGCAGGTGGAGAGGCAGGTTGGGAGGGGAAGTTGGGGAAGGAGGCGGAAGAGGAGCTGTGGGAAGGGGGAGGGAGGAAAAGAGGAGGAGGTGGAGAACTGAGCTGAGCAGAGCATCGAGCCAAAGGGGAGATGAGTTTGTCTGTCCTCGGATGAGGCTCCGGCCCGGCCTAAGGAACTGGAAGCTCGGGTTGGAGCGACACCCGTGGAAGTGGGAGGAGGTGGCTCTGGGACCTTAACCCCTTGTGGGCTCTGCGGCAGGGGATTTAACCCTTTGTGGATCCAGCCCCTCGGAGGCAGCGTCATCGGGTCGTTTTAACCCTTTCGGGGCTGGGTTTAACCCATTGGACTTGACCTCATCTTCTAGCCCAGCAATCCCTCCTTCGTGGGGGCACTCTGAGGCGAGGCTTGAGGCGGACCCTCTCCATACATTACGTACTGTTCTGCTGCTGCACCCCCTTGGACCTGCTAGCTGGCCGCGCTGTGGCGTTTAACCCTTTACTGTCTTGAGCTCCCCCAAGTTGCATTTGGAGTTTGCTGACAGGACTGGCTAAAGGCATCACTGCGGGAATTACCGAAGTGGACTCTGTGTTGGACATTTTTTGAAAGAAAAGAAAAGCCTCTTTTTTCCTCAAGGACTTCCAGCCAAAATTCTTCAAACTTCAAGAAAAGGACTCTGTTAGCCATGGCCGAGCCACTATTGCCGAAATATCAGCACCAGCCTCCAACCAGCAACTGCACAGGTGCTGATGATGCTGTCCAAGAAGAGCGGAACCCCGATCGCCCCCCAGACGCTGAGGAGCGGGTGCCAGCGGACAACAGTAGGTGGCAATCGAGAGCGTCCCCCCAGTCGGATGGCCGTCCAGGGCAGGAGGGGGAAGGGAGCCTGGAACCCCATTCGCCTGTGCAGACCCAGGTCTGTCCAGAAGCTGACTGCCCGGGAGCGGACGAAAGGGGTCAGAATGGAGACGAGTTGTCCGCTGGCGGAGCACCCCTGCTGGCAGCAGGAGGGGAACCCAGGCCTGAGGCCGAACAGCTCGCCCAGCCTTGTCATGACTCCGAGGCCAACAAGTTGGGGGCTCCTGCCGCTGGGGGTGAGGAGTCGTGGAAACAGCAGCAGAGACAGCTAGGCAAGAAAAAACATAGGAGACGCCCCTCCAAGAAGAAGCGGCATTGGAAACCATACTACAAGCTGACCTGGGAGGAGAAGAGAAAGTTTGACGAGAAACAGAGCCTGCGAGCTTCGAGGATTCGAGCCGAGATGTTCGCCAAGGGCCAGCCGGTCGCTCCCTATAACACCACGCAGTTCCTCATGGATGATCACGACCAGGAGGAGCCGGATCTGAAAACCGGCTTCTACCCCAAGCGGGCCGCCGCCAAATCCGACGATACCAGCGATGAAGAGTTCATGGAAGAGGCCGGAGAAGAGGATGGGGGCAGCGACGGGATGGGAGGAGACGGCAGCGAGTTTCTGCAGCGGGACTTCTCGGAGACTTACGAGCGGTACCACGCGGAGAGTCTGCAGAATATGAGCAAGCAGGAGCTCATCAGGGAGTACCTGGAGCTGGAGAAGTGCCTCTCGCGCATGGAGGACGAGAATAACCGCCTGCGGCTGGAAAGTAAGCGGCTGGGTGGTGACGACGCGCGTGTGCGGGAGCTGGAGCTGGAGCTGGACCGACTGCGCGCCGAGAACCTCCAGTTGCTGTCGGAGAACGAACGGCACCGACAGCAGGAGCGAGGACCGCCGTCCAAGTTTGGAGACTAGACTGCAACTTTTTGGGGGGGAGGGGGCAAAGGGGACTTTTTACAGTGATGGAATGTACCATTATATCCATGTGTATATAAGACAGTGGACCTTTTTATTATGACACATAATCAGAAAATGCCCTGGCTTTGGTTGGTTTGGTAAATCTAGCTATGATGTAGCTTGCGTAATTTCTCCTGTTCTTTAATTATGTGAAACTGAGGGATGCTTTACTTTTCCTTTTAGATTTTCTTTTGTGTGTGAGTAATTTGACCAAGTTATAATGCATTTTGTTAAAAATTCTCCTTAAACAGAGCTATAAGGTGGCCAAATCTGAGAACCATTAAATTCATTCTAGTTATAATAAATTTAATATTCGTTAATGTTACATAGTTTTAAGTGTGATTTCTAGAGCTAATAAAATATAGTACTGACTTATGCGACTGCATTTGGAGGGGATAAAGAAATAAAATTTGTTAAGTTTGGGAAAAAATCTTTAATGGAAGACTTTTAAATCTGTAGTTTCTACTTGAATGGGTTTTAGTGTGCTACAATATACAGTTCAGGCAAATATAAAGATTTAAATAGCTTCAAACTGAAGTGTGCTTGCTTCTAGTGCCTTGGGTTTTTTTCTTGATGTTGGAGAAATAAACCAGTGTTGGGTGTTTGGGGAACAGAGTGGCTCCAATCAGTAGCTTAAAATTTCTGTTTCTCAATAGCCATTCAAGAGTCTTAACAAAAATGTAAATCTAACTTGGCAGTTTGTTAGACAACTAACAGCCTCATTTCATTCCTACAAGTAGGTTTTTAGTAATATCCCCCTCCCCACTTGAGGCAGGAAGGAGTTTCTGGATGCCTGGAAGAGGCTCTTGGTAAACCTACTGCTTAGCACAAGCAATAGTTGGGTAACTTTGTGGGGCAACTCTTTACATTATGTTTAGACTAGGGGACATTGGATTTGTGGAGGAAATAGCTGTTTGGGGCATTCCAAGGACATACCCTAACTATCCAATATTGGTGTTCCCTATACCAAAAAAGAACAGGAGCTGTTCACCTTTCCATGAAGGTCAAGTTAGAAATGCCCCTTTACTGCAAATCAAACTTAGTTTCTGGTAGAGCTAAATTAACTCCTTGGGGGCAGAGTGGTGACCCTGCACATACTCCCCATATAGCTGCTATTCTGTCTCCTAAACGGTGCTGATGGCAGCAGATTTTGAATAGTTCTAGTCTTGAAAATGCATCGAGGCCCTGGGAATTAATTTCTGCCCCCAAAATCAAAATAAGAAATTACAAGGCTCTTCCCTCCTGTCACCATGGATAGATACCTCTGCCCATCTTCACCTGACCTGTTTCCTTAGGGCAATTGCATTACTCAAATCTTTAGCACAGGAGTTCCTTAACTTGGGGTCCACAAACCCCACAAAATTACATATAGACTCATGTTACATGTACACTTATCTGGGGAAAGGGTTCCAAAGAATCATGAGACTGTCAAATTTGCAGGTTAAAAAAACCCTGCAGAGAAAGGGAAAAAAGCCTCCCATTGAAAAGCTTCCTTTTGCAGCTAAATGAAAGAGGTGAGTGGAATGCTCCTTATGATGCAAAAGGAGCATACACAAATCAATGAATCAAAGGAAATTGATGGTCAAGCCTGGCCCTCAAAGCTGGATTGAGCTAGCCTTTTTCTGGCAGATGGTTCACTGGAGACAATGTATGATCAGTTTTTTCTTTGGCCTAAAAATGACATTAAATGTCTAATTTGAAAGTTTTCTTCGTGTTTTTAATATTCCTTCTATGACATCATGCAGTAGTCCCAGAAACCTGGTTGCTAGGTGGAAAAGCAGCAACACTGCCCTCTGGCTTCACAGTGCAGAGCAGAACCCTCATTTTGATTGCACTAGGATGCAGCAGTGTTAACCTGTGATGCTTTCAGAACCTCAGTAAGTATTTTGTTTCCCTTACATGTTTCCCTTGGAGAGACTCTATGTACATTTTACTCCTAGGTGACAAATGCAGTGCTGTTTTTAAAAAATACAAATATTTCGTTTTAAGTAACTCATAAATTATTTTACCTTGAGCTATAAACTTTCTGGATTCTGCTTTCAAAAGGATTGGCATTTTACTATATTTATTACATTTATCTCCTTTGAATGATGCGGTTTATGTGAAATGAGTTTCCATCAACACTTCTATGTTGAAACACTTGATTAGCATACTGCTCTCAGGGCAGAACACTGAACTACCAGGGGGTTGTGATGACAAATGATCCTGAAGTCCACGCTAGCCTTTCACTGAAATGCTCCCTGCCAAACATTTCAACTGAGTTGCACAAAAGACCATACTCACACATTAGCAATTTCAGTTTGTTCCCTTTTTAATACTAGGGCCTGGGTATCAAGCCAAGGCATAACGCTTCCCAAACTTTGAGACAGCTTGTTGAACAGCTAGTAATTCTTTGAGTAAGGAAAACTTTTCCAAGGCTAGCCTGTAACATAAAAAGGGCTCTCAGGAGACAGGTCCCTTTAGATTTCAGTTTGGAGAGAAAAAGTCAGGGAGTCCCAGTCTGGTTTAGTTCTGAAAAACAGACCAGGTATCTCTAAAGAGAGGAAACATCATAAAAAAATTACACCAAACTAGAGGTCAAAGAAGCAGGGTCCCAGGCATACCTCTAACATACTAGTAGTGGCAATCCTGGACACATCTCTCCAACTCTGAGTGTCATTCTTCATCAGCTAAATGGAGCTATGCCTACTTTACATAAGGATTAAACAAGATAGTATAAAGTGTGCTACACATGCATACAGCAGCTTCCCATTTGATCAGTATTTTTAAATTTTCACTTCATCCAGGATTTATAAAAATGTTATATAAATTTAAAAAAATGCTTTGCTTGGGGAAGTGCAAATAAATACATTTTATCCTAATGGCTTCATAAGAGAAACCAGGGTGAATCTAAGAAGTTAAAAAAAAAATCCACAACCCAAGAATTTGCTATCAGAGAGTAAAGAACCAGCTATACCCCTGGCTGGATTTCTCCGCTGGTTGGAGCACCATCCCATGCACCAAAAGGCTGTGGTTTGGTCCCAGGTCAGGGCACAAACCTAGGCTGCCGGTTCAATCCCCTGTCCGGGCATCTATGGGAGGCAACCAATCAATGTTTCTCTCTCCCTCCTTTCCTCTCTAAAATCAATAAAAAAACAATCTCAGGTGTGGAATAAAAACAATAAAATGGACCATATTTAGTCAAACATTAGGTAATATGTTACAGGTGTCCCTCTGGCCACCTACATGCAGAACAGCTGGCAACCAATATTCATAACAGTTTGATAGGAAAGTTGGTTAAAGATAGTACTTGTACCTAGTTAGGTACCCTTGCACGTGTGTGGGTTTTTGGTTTTTAATTTTTTAAGATTTTATTTATTTATTTTTAGAGGGAGGGGAAGGGAAGAAGAGAGGGAAACATCAATATGTGGTTGCCTCTTGCGTGCCCCCAGCCGGGGGCCTGGCCTACAACCCAGGCATGTGCCTGATGGGCAACTGAACTGGCAACCCTCTGGCTTTGGTTTGCAGGCCAGCGCTCAGTCCCTTGAGCCACACCAGACAGGGCAGTTTGGGGGTTTTTTAAATAAATTTTTTCACATTTGACAAGATCACTGGAATAAAATTCCACTTTACTATTCTTACATAAAGTGTAAATTATTGATGCTAGGATGAAAAGTAATTTTTAAAAGAGAGTATCAAATTCAGGATCTGAACACAGTGGGGCCTGCTGACCAAACTGTAGTAGTCATACTTTGCAAGTGGAACAAAATCTGTGGTCTAGCAGGCAAAGAATCAATCTTTGCCAGCTGTCGTTGAATTTGGAAAGCTGACCACCTCATTCTCTCTCTTGTTGAAAAAAACAAAGCCTGGGTTTAGACAGATCAATGCTGTAGCTCTCACAAATCCTCTGGACTAAACTTTTTTTTTTTTAGGGACAGTTCAATTATTAAAATTCTTTCAAATGGTTGAGATGCTACAGGAAACTCTCAGTCTTTTGAAATAGTGTGATCATTCAATACAGCACCAAGAGGAGTTAACATTGGCTTACATAGTCTTTTTTTCAAGAGCAAACATTCAGAAGGGAATTGTAAACACTCGTCTGAAGTCGTATTCTACTTGACATATTCACTGACTCTGTGTGAAGTGTTAAAAAGCCCTGGGTCTGTGGTGAGCAAAAAGTATATCCCTGAAGGAAAATGTGGGAGCTTTACAGTACTCCGAGCAAAAAAATTTCAGAAAATGATAGCTACTCTTGTAAGCTACTCAGATGAACTTGTCCTAACCTCCACAGTCAGCGGAGGTTAATTTGAACTTCTGAAACCTGCTCCAAACATTCAATTCTGCATATATGGATAACTCTAGTACAACTTTCAGGCAAGGGCAGAAGACCAAATTGGAGGATGGAGAAGAATGTCTGAGAAGTTAGTTCCACCCTCCTCTCTAGTTACTACTGAAGGTGTACTTAATAGTAAACATTTAAACAACTTAGACAAAAGATAGAAAAGAATGGTAAAAGCTAAATACAAAGAATAAAAAATTGTGGAAATCAAATAGTTCAGAAGCAAGCACCTTCACCCTGAAGAGGACTCCTACAAAGAATCAATGAATCCTGCACACAAATAGCCACTAGTCCCCAAGAGTGGGCTGTCAGGCAGATGTAAAATGTCCAGAACTTCATAGTAACAACTACTTGGTACCCTGACAGCCTGACCCTCCTTCAGCCTGTCCGAATGGGCACACTCTGTACTGCCAGGGGCACATTTCAGTAGGGCAGGCCTCCCAACTACCCCAAATAACCTTTGAAGTGTAAGTTCTAAAGTGCCCAAATAACAAAGTTATAGGGGGTTAGACAGCTACTGAAGATTACTCTTCAAGGTATTTATGAGGGAGGCAGCACTGATTCCATTTTCAAATTAGGAAACTGAGGCATACCCAATAAACTCAATAAAAAAATAAATGTAAAAAAAGGAAGCTCAGGCATATACAATACAGTCTTGTAGAATTTGTCATAAACTGTAAAGCAACTTGTTTGAAAGAGGAGGAGGGAGTCAAAGGTCTGGTTGAACATTAGATGAGTAGACTCAGCAACAGAAGTTTGGCCTAATCTTCAGGTTTTGGCCTCCTGCCAAGCCGACCAAGTCAGTGGCAGCACACACAGAAACAGAACTTGGAGTTCCCGACCTCCAATCCTATGTTTTGTTCCGTCAACGAACTTGCTTTATTCCCAACTTTTCTTATTGAGGAGTGGAAAGCTTATTGGCCAACTTTAAAGAGGATAAGCTTTCATTTTTATGAGTAACAAATTTCTGTCCCTGGTATGCTCCACTTAGTAACATCCAAAGGTTTAATGGAGGGTGAATCACAAGAGTCTGGGATTCTCCTCCATTAAATTCTTGACAATCTCCAGACTCCCCTTTTTAGCTCCTATGACTATTTAACTTAACTCCTACCAAGTTAGTGTCAACTTTTCCTAACTTAAATCTGCTCATCTTGAAGAACAGTGTAAAGTGAACATGACGTTAAGCCAAGTCAACCTACACTACAAATTGAGTGTACTAGTTCCATTTCGGACTAAGTGGTTCAAATTTTGGATTAAGAACCAGTCGATGGTGATCATATCTCCACAATCCAGTTCTAAGACTGCCTCTGAAAATACTCGGTGGGTGGGGAAATAGTTAAAGCTACAGAACTGTGACTCTCACAACTTTTTAAAAATTTCCTTTATTAATAGGAGGCACAAGGATTCAGTTCTGAAGAACCTTTCAATGTTCTTTCTACTGAGGCCAAAGGCCCAGAAATGACCTATCTGTAACTGGCACTGGGACTCACTGTAAGGTATCTTCTGCCTGGCAGGGGAGCTCGGTTAAGAAGGAGCCTCATCCTGACACGCCAAGGTTGTGGGTTCCACCCCCAGTCAGGGGACAGACACACACGAGCCAACAAGGTACCCTCTCAAAGACAAAGTTCACTGCTCAGTCACTCCCCTAACTTCAGAATCTACCTATATGTATTTTTAAATGACATTTTTGCAGAATTAAGCTACCCGTGAGCTATAAATCTCCCTGAATTGAGATTCCCAGCAGTAGGACACACGGTAGTTTAATCTGTAATTCAAAAAAGACTTTCACATCAAACATCAATCTTTAAGAAGCTACTACAGCTGTACTGCCAGGCTATTTTCTTCAGAGCGGGTCTCCCCTACCTCCAAACTGCAATTTCTGCTTGGGCAGCATCTAGGATCTACAGAAGAGTGTTTTGTTTTGTTTTTTTAAATTACTTGAAATTTCAAAATAGAGGTTTCCTAGTAACAATGCACTAGTGGCAAAATATTCCCCCATTTAGTTTAGTTTGTGGGAGAAAAGTTCTTCAAAACTGGAAAGAATTTGTAGTCTTATAAAGATTACAGTGGAATTCGTTCGTTTTTTTCCCCTCCAGGAGGGCAGACATTCCTCCAAAAGTTTAGGGAGAAGTTATGGCTCAGATTTCAAAATGCAAACAGATGTTCCTGAAGCATCCGAAACGGGCCCCTCCCCTTTTACTCCCAGAGCCATGGCAACTCTGAAGTTATTTTGTGTCCCGACCCTGTAAAGGGCAAACACCCATACCCCTTCGGTGTCACCTTTCAAGACAAGTGGGACAGCACACTTTTCGGAGTTTCCCAAAGTGGCTGGCAACGTGCGAGCTCAGGTCGTTCAGAGAATGGGCGCTGATGGGATGAACCCTGAGGACCAGCGTGCTCAGAGATCTCCAGGCATCGGGCTCGTGGAGGTTCCCACGTGCCCCTACCTTGCTGGTCCCAGGGGAAATTAGAAGTTGTCACAGTAGGAGGAAGGCTGTTTCGCAGCCTGGGCCGCGGGACAGCCTTGGCGTATGGAGGAGGCGGGGGATGGTGGTGGGTGCACCGGGATGTCTCGGAGTCTCCACCTGACTGCCAGGCGAGAGAGACGCGCGGCCAGTGCCGCGACCTCCACCCTCCCCCGCGGCCCATCTTTGGAATCTGGCCTCTTCCCCACCTCGCCCGTCGAAGTTGGGGAGGGGTTCCCGCTACGCTGGGCCTCGCCGCCATACCCAGGCCGAATGGGGTTGGGAAAAGAACTTCGCAGAGCTGGGCCGCATGATCTACGCCCCAGTGGGAAGAGAGCCGAAGAGAACCGTTTCACTCGGCCTCTCCCTAACTGGGGTCTCGGGAAATACGCGGTAATTACCCAAGAACCCCGCCCTCTGTGAGAGGCGAGGCTGCGGGGCTGCCGGGACGGTTTGAGGACCAGGCCCTGCCGGGGAGACGCCAACCTTCACCCCCCCCTTAGGCCCCCGGTCCCACTTCCCGCCGTCTCCCGGCGTCGCCACTTCAGGCAGCCCACTCGGCCCGGCCTCTCCCCACGCCCGGACCACCCCCCACGGGGTGCTCTCACTGTGCAGCGAGTCCCTCCGCTGCCTCCTCCCAGCCCAAAATGGCGGCGGCGGCAGCCACAGAGCCTTCTCGTCGCCTTCCTCTAGAATTGAGGATCCCTCCGCGCCCACAGCCCCTCCCCTCTCAGCCGGATCTATTTTCTGCCTAGTAAAGATTAACGCCATCAATGAACTCTTTAATTGAGCTTGGAAGGCGGATTCCGATTGTGCTTCCGCCAGCAGACGTTGACAAAACTGCCTTATTGGCAGGCGAGCTGACCAATCAAAACAGGCAGAGGAGACCGCGGGACAACTCCCGCGTAAGGGTAGTTGGGTTTTGAAGTACCCGGCAGAGCTGTTGACGTGACAGAATGTGGGTTCTCCTTCCAAGGGCAGGAGAACTACAATCCCCAGCAGGCACCGCGCTGTCAGGCCGTTCCCTTCCCCCCAACCTTAGTGCCTGAGCGGCTTGACCAGACAGCTGCTGCAACTGCATGCAGCAAGAGGTAGGGCTGAGGCGTTGGGAATTGCACAGACAGGCGATTGCACAGAAAGGCACACGGGTGTAGTCGTGTGTATAGCCCTTGGCAGCAAATAGGTCAGTTCCGCCTTTGCAAAACCTCTTTCCCGGACCATTTCCTCTCTTCCAAGGACTCCATCCTTATCCCAGTTGGGTTTCCCTCCCAGCTGCATGTCATGTGAAGATCTCGTCCCCTTTCCCTCCGTGTCCCGTCCTGAGAGGAAGGAGGGCGGCAGGCCAGGCCCCGTGTGTGGAAGAAAAGGCCTCAAGTCCCAGACTCAGCCCAGGCCCCAGACATGTTTCCTGAGGCACCGACGACTTCTGGAGCCCAGCCTGGGGAGGAGTTGGGGGCTGCAGTGAAGGCTGAGGCCTCGGGAAAGGACCCCCCCTTTTGTGGGAGCCACAGACCCAGTCCACTCCGAGCCTCTCCAGGCCGTTGCCGTGCGGACTTGGTTGGCCTCCGAGGCCGTCTCCTCTCCCACGTTGGTTGCTGGGGGAACAAAGCTCAGTCCCACCTTCCCCGGAGCCAGCCTGGGCCTCGGTGACTTCCAGGAAACAGTACAGGGTGTGAGCCTGGCCCTGGGGCCTGGGAAGCAGGACTGGGGAGATGGCTTCTTAATCCCCATTCGGCCCCCCGGCGGGCCGGAGGTGTGAAAAGCGGGGCGTGGAGGCGGCCCTCGGGGCCCTCCTTGGAGAGGGAGGGTGTGCAGGTCGGTCCGGGGCCACAAAATGGCTGCCGCTGCCTCGGTGAGAAGTTGCCGGGCAGCCGGTCTTCCTGCCATTTCTCCTTTGGCGCTTAGGTTTCTGTTGTTGTTTAAAGCAGGTGTCACTAGTGAAAGGCATCTGCTGAGAGATCTGGAGCCGAAGAAGGTGGGCACTGGGAAGCAGACCGACCGTCATACCGAGTCAGCAGCAGCCCTGGAGGAGGCCAAGGTAAGCCTCGCCCTTCCAACCCCCCCGAGTGCCCCGTGCGCGGAGCCTGCTGCCCGGGATCCCAGCTTCTTATCTCAGATGTGTTGGCAGATTTGGAAAACCAGTATTTTTTCAATGAGTCCCTACTATGTGCTGGGCAATATTCCAGATGCTGAGTCTGTGCCGTCTCATGATATCCTAGTAGCCCTTCAAGGTTGGACACTTCTTATTTCCATGTCACAGACGGTACGGTTCTGAGGGCTGAAATACCTTTTCTAGAATGTGCAGCCAGCAAGCAGCAGATCCGGGGGTTAAACTTAGGGCCTTCCGACAGCAGAACCCTGCCTGGTGTTTTGTCCAGGCTGAGAACCAGGTTATAGCAGGTAAAAGAGTCTCAACAATTGGTTCCGAATTTGGGTTGGGGTGGGCTATAGGGTATCACCCAGGACAGACGGAGAGACAGGTTGTATCAGGCCCTCAGAATGTCACCTTCTGATCGGGCAGCAGGAGCCCGGACCCTCCTGGCCTGTGCTAGTGCTCACTGCTGCCACCTTGCCCATTCTTCTCCCCTAGTCCACAACTCCCTGTGGGTGACGAGGGAGCTCAGCTGCTCTGACTCACCCTGCCCAGCCACTTCCAGTGTTTCCTGGATTTATTTAATTTGGACTCGATGGCGTGCCAGGGCTAGAAGATTCAGAGAGGGCACATAGCATGCCCGCAGTTAGTGGTCACGGTCGTGGAGGGGCAGGCCTTTAGGAGGGAGGCAGCATGTGGGGCCGAGGGCCGTGCTGGCTTGGGTGAGGGGCAAGACCGTTAGGGGCATTTGCTGACGGTGGGGAGCAGGTGAATTGCAGAGCACCCAGAACCAAGCCACTCTGCCTCAGAGTTCCCACGGGCAGTGGCCCGCCCCTTCCCGTGTGGGGCAGATCTCCGTCTCCTGTGGCCGAAAACATCGATGGAGACAAGGCCGGTCTCCCTTAACTGATGGTCTCCCTGCAGGTGAAGTAACAACACAACACAGGCACTCCAACATACCTCCTTTCCCCTGCAGTTCCCTCCATGGTCTCCAAAACCCACGTAACACACCTCCAGCTCTTACAGAGCTGCATGCACCCCCAGTACGTGCCCTATACTTGTATGGAGCCAGGCTCAGATGTCTCTGAACCGGGCTGTGCACCATGAGACAACGTACCAGTGGTAGTGGTTATTATTAGAATTCCCCAAACCACAAACTTAGAGCAATTCATTCCCCACTCCCCACTCAGCACTCCCACCCTCACCATGACAGATAACCAGATGCCCCGAACGCACACTCTCTTGACGGAATCCTTTGCACCTCTGAGATAAGTTCTAGAATTCTCTCAGCTGCAGACTGGAGATTGACCTTTCTTCTCCCTAGTTAGATCTTCTTTCGTGCTCGTCGTGTAGACGGATGGGAGCGACTTCTGCCCGGAATAAACACACTCCATCTTCTTCACCCTCGAATGACAGGAGAGCCTTGGGTTCCAGTATCTTTTGGATCCCCCTCTCTTATGGGCTTTATGTCATTTCACGTCTGTTTATTAAGCACTTACGTTGGGCCATGTACAGGGAGGGACGCAGTGGTGAACTGAACAGGCAAGACACGTTCTTATAGGAGGAAGTCAGATGGTAAATTGGAATGTACTAGTGCAACGTGGGATGCTAATTTTCACGTGATAGGGAGTTAGTGGGGAGGGGAGATTGGGGGGCTACTTTAGACAGGGCGTCAGGGAGGGCCGTTCTGAAGAGGTAACATTGGAACAAAGGAGGAAGGATGAAAGAGTTAGCTATCTAAATATCTGGAAGCAGGATCAGCTACATAATTTGTGGGGCTCAGTGCAAAGCGCACTTTATTCTAAAAGTAAGAAGAAGTTCAAGCCCTGGCTGGTGTGGCTCAGTAGACTGAGCGTTGAGAGTGCCAGCCTGAGAACCAAAGGTTACTGGTTTGATTCCCAGTCGGGTCACATGCCTAGGCCAGATCCCTCGTTGGGGTGTGCGAGGCAACCAGTCGATGTCTCTCTCCCTTTCTTTCTCCCTCCCTCCCCCTGTCTCTGAAAATAAGTAAGTGAAATGTTTCAAAAAAAGATTTTTCAAGGCATGACAGCCGAGTGTTAAGCAAAGCATGGGGCCTTTCTGATGGGGAGGAGCATCGAAGTTACAAAGTGAATGCACAGGTGAAATTTCTGCTCTCCTTGTGAGTTTGCTTGGGGCGTGTTGGGGACAGACAGTAGACAGGTAAGCGATAAACAAATGAGTGGTCGCAGAAGGGCGAGAGCTAGAGAGGGACAAGCAGCAGGGTGGGAGAAGGTCAGTTTTAGGTGGGGATGGGGGTGTGGAGGGGGCACGGAAGGTGTCCGCCACCAGGGAACGACTGGCCGTGACCCATCCTCCCTCATGTTCTGTCTTTAGACCACTGGCTCGTCTGGGAGCCCAGAAACACCCCCTGAGCCTCATGACCCTGGCAGTTCCCTGCCCCTGACACCCCAGATGGAGAGTCACTCAGAGGAGGAAGATCATGGTGGCCCGGGCCAGAACGGTAGGGGTCCTGGGGCCCACAGCCCAAGGAGCTACTCAGTGGAGGCGGTGCTGAGCCGGAAGAAGCACCGCCGGCGGCCTTCCAAGCGCAAGCGGCACTGGCGGCCCTACCTGGAGCTGAGCTGGGCCGAGAAGCAACAGCGAGATGAGAGGCAGAGCCAGAGGGCCTCCCGGGTCCGAGAGGAGATGTTCGCCAAGGGCCAGCCTGTGGCGCCCTACAACACCACCCAGTTCCTGATGGATGACCGAGACCCCGAGGAGCCTGACCTGGATGTGCCCCGGGGGGCCTCCCACCCAGGCTCCAGTGGGGAGAGTGAAGCTGGGGACAGCGACGGGCGGGGCCAAGTTCACGGCGAGTTCCAGCAGAGGGATTTCTCCGAGGCCTACGAGCGCTACCACACGGAGAGCCTGCAGGGCCGCAGCAAGCAGGAGCTGGTGCAAGACTACCTGGACCTGGAGCGGAGGCTGTCCCAGGCCGAGGAGGAGACGAGGAGGCTGCAGCAGCTGCAGCGGTGCGCCAGCCGGCAGTCCTGTCGCCTGGTGGAGGAGCTGGCCGCCGAGGTCGAGAGGCTCCGGACGGAGAACCAGCGGCTTCGGCGGGAGAATGAGATGTGGCGCCGCGAGGGCAGCCTCGGCGGTGGTGGCGGCGGGGAGCCGGGCACCTAGGAGTCCCCCCCGGCCAGGGTTGCCCACGCGGACAGTTCCGTTTCCCACGCGCTCAGGCCGGCTGGGTCTCCGGGGCGGCGGGGGGCCAGTGTAAACCGCTGCGGGCACCCTGCACTCCCTGAGAACAGCCTGACTTCCACCTCGTCATTTCCACAGTTTGTTCTTTGATGTCATCTTATTTTTCACAAAGAAAATAAATGGTTTTGATGAAATCTGATGTAAGTGGCTGGGATTGATTTCACGGGGGCTCTGAAGTTCAAAGCACCTTCATTCCACATAGGTTCGGGACGTGGGGCCCCAGGGCCCCCTTGCCCCAGGCCCCCAGGCCGGGGAGGACAGCAGGCGTCTGCGCTGGGGACCTGTCAAGATCTCCAGGATGCCCCTGGCCAGTGTGGCTCAGTTGGTTGGAGTACTACTCTGTAAACTGAAGGGTTGTGGGTTTGACCCCCAGTCTGGGCTCATACGGGAAGGCAACCGGTTGATGCTTCTCTCTCGTACTAATGTTTGCATCCATGTCTCTCTCTCTTTCTGTCTCAGAGAAATGAAAAAATATCCTTGGGTGAAGATTAAAAAAAAAAGGTCTTCAGGATGCCTGAGTTCTGCTGTGTGTCAGGGACCGTCAGACTACTCTTAAGGTTTTGTAGAGGGGGGGTGCAGAGGTGAGAGGGGGCTCAGGTAGGAGCCCCTGCCTTCAGATGGAACTTGACTTAAGATGCCAGATCACTGGGAGGAGCTGAGACTTTGGGGAAGGCCCAGGGTTTTTTCCCCCAGTCTCTGTATTCTCCCCATCTTCCCGTAGTTAGGGGACTGGGCTAGATGAGGTCTGGGTGCCTTGTGTCTCCTTGTCCTTGACCGCCCCCAACCCCCCACATCTCCTAGCTAGGGGTTGGGCAGGAGGGTAGTCATTCATTTGCCCCCTTACCTCCTGGAAGGGCACTGACAAGTAAGCACTCAAGGGACATTTTCTCTTAATGGAAAATCCGTCCAACAGGCAGAGCGGGGCAGTGAGTCAATCCTGAGCAGAGCCGGTGGCCTGGCCTGTCTGGGGCCCTCCGTGCACCTGCGCACCCTGCTCCAGCCTAGACGCCTGTGTGGTTAATTCCCCCCGAGGGGAGCCCCTCATCCGCCTGTGCCTGAGAGAGCTGAGTCAGCCTGGGCCGTGCAGGTGCCACCAACATCCCAGCAGTACTGGGCTCCGGGACAAGCTCACACTTGGGCCCGCCCTTCTGCAGACGCCAGTGCCTCTTCCATCGCCCTCCCCAGGTGTAGCCCACAGAACGTCAGGCTGCGGTGCTGGAGGAGGAAGTCGGTCAGATCACCAGTGAGCCTGTGCTGACGCTGCCACCGTGCCCGGGGCGGGGTGGAGGCCTGGCTTAGCCCATTCCAGGAAAGCTCATCGCGACAGGCTACGCCGAGCAAGAGAAGGGCTCGGGCCTGGGACCTGCCCGGTGGAAATGTTGATGAAGCCTGTGTGTTTGCCAGGACAGCTTTCGTGTCTGCCCCGCCACACCCAGGCCTCAGCAGCACCTCCTCCGTCGAAGCCAGGCGAAAACAGCTTCTAGGAAGGGACGGGTTTCAAGAGAACACCATCTCCCTTTCCTGTGGGGTCTGCCCCTGGGACCCTGGCGGAGGGTTTTAGCCCCCCCATTCGAGTCATCAGCTCCGTCAGGAGGAACCAGAGAAATGATTGTCCCCACTTTGCAGGTGGGGAGCCCAAAGCCCAGAGAGGGAGTGGCTTTGGGGGGGCTCCAGGAATGCAAAGCAGAGGCCTGCCTTCACCTGTGGGGTGCCAGCCAGGGATCCACAGGCCCCTGGGCAGGCTGGGCAGCCTCTCTGCTGCTGCATTCCTCAGCTGGAGCCTGGGGGAGGGGGAGGGGGGCCATGGGCCAGGAGGAAGGCAGTTTACCTGGAGGGGTGTGAGTGTGTGTGTGTGTGTTGTGTGAGTAGAAGGGAAGGGAAGATTCCAGAGGGCTGCTGGAGTAAGGGGGATGGGTGTGGGTGTTGGGGGATGGGCGTGGGGGTGTGTCAGGAGGTGGCTCGGGCCAGTGCGTCCCTGAGTAGGCGAGAGCTTCACACGGGAGGGGACAGGTGAGAAGTTCAGCCCTTCTTGGCCTAGAAGCTTGAGGAGCCTGGAGACAGAAAAGTTGCCGGCTGGCCCTCCCCACCCCCAACACACACACACACACACACACACACACACACACACACACACACGCAGTGGCTGAAGGGCTCTAGGTCAGGGCTGTATCCAGGTGGGTGACTATCCCCAAGGCTGGTGGGGGCAGGACGGGGTAAGAAGAAAACAAAGGAGAAGGGCGTGAGCTGGGAACTGGTCGGGGTGCTGAGAGAGATTAGTGAAGAGTCAGTGTCACCTCTTCCCACTTCTGGTTCCCTGACCTCAGTGCCCCAGTCCCCGCCCTGCGGAGCTGGGGGGTTTTCGGGCTCAGTCCGGGGGAGAGGCAGCTCAGCTACCCGCAGTGGCCAGGCCCGGGTTCATTTTGCTTCCCTCCCTGCTCCCCGCAATCCCCTGCCCCCCCTTGCCCTCTCCCCTGCCTGGCCCTGAGGGCTGCGGGGCTCCCTACCCACCACAGTGATATAGGCTCCAACTGGCAGCCCCCCGCCTCGAGCACACGTTCCCCCTTCAGCGGGGAAGAGGGGCTTGGACTACTCCCCTCTCCCCCCCCACCCAGCCTTTCCAGAGCAGATGCCCAGTGCCTGCCTTCTCTGGTGTTCATCTGCTTTCCAGGACCTTCGTAGTCCCCTGGGCCAGGGCCGGGAGGCCCAGAGACGCAGATAGCTCGCAGGGTGATTGCAGAAAAGCTTCCCGCCAGCCCCAAGTACTCTAGCCTAGGGTCCTCCCTTCTTTCCCACCCAAGACTCCCCGCCCCCAGGTGGAAACTCCTGTGTTCAGTGGGCAGACCGTGCCTTCAATGGGGTCAGGGAATGAGGAGAGGTCGTAGGGTGGGCAGAGGAGCTGAGGGGACAGGAAGAAGTGGGGAAGGGGGTTTGAGGTGAAGGAATTCAATACGATAAAAGAGGGTGGCCAGGTCCCATTGCCTCTTGGGTGCAGGCGAGGATGACACTGTCCCTTTAAGTGGGGGTGCCAGCCAATGCCCTCCCCCAGCCAACCCAATCCGTGGGCACACTGAGCATGTGCAGGAGCTGTGCAAGCAGAGGGGAGGGAAGTGGGGGGATAGATTCCGGAGGGAACTCCTCACCCCACTACTTCCTGTAGCTGCCCCACTCTCCTTCCTGGGTCTGACAAAGGAGCCATGGTGCTCCTCCAATCCCTTCCCCCTCCCAGACCCCCGTGAGTGCTGCCCTCTAGGGGCGCTGGGGCCTGCGAGGGGAGATGGGCAGGCCGGCTCTGCCCTGGGAATTCTCGGGCAGCCCCCTCGCTGCCCAGGGGTGGCACGGGAGCTCAGCCCTGTGACATCCTGGCTCCCCTAGTGTGGGCGGTGGGTAATCTCCCTACGGCTTAACACATTCGATTTCATTCCACCGGTGCCAGAGGCTTAGAAGATGCATGTGCCCGTGATGACTCTCTGGTCTGGAAATTAGAAACAGCTACAAAGATGAGGTCCCCGCACCGCCCACCCCCCGCCCCCAGGAGCTTCCAGTCTATAACGCCCGTCCGAGAGGAAGCGAACAGCTCGTGGAGGATGGGTGAAGACTGCCAGGCCCGCCCGGCCTCCGGCCTCAGCGCCCCCTTCCCCTGCCCCCCCTCACTTGGCACCTGCCCACTCTTCTCAGTCCTTCACTCTCTTGGCCACGGGGACCCTTCTTTCTGATGGAGATGAGTTTCACCTCGCGTGGAATTCACCATTTTAACGTGAACCATTCTGGGGCAGTTAGTTCCTTGACCATGGGCCCGACTGCCGCCACCCTAGCACCCCAAAAGGAAACCCCACCCCTACGAAGCAGCTGCTCCCCATTCCTGCCTTTCTCCAGCCCAGGCAGCCCCCCACTGTCTGCCTTTGGGCTCTGTGAATTTCCTTCTCCTGGATATTCTGGGGGTAGAGCCAGGAGCGGGGGACTGGTCTCTCGTGGCCCGCAAAAACGCAGATCTCCCAGGGCCAAAGCGGAGGGAGGGAGCACCAGACGGGCAGTCTTGCGGCCTGGGATGGGACCTGCTTCTGCCTCTAACTCAGGCCCCTCCTCAACTCCTTTGTTCGAGGGGCTGGGGGCTTCGGGCCAGTCCGGGATCCTGGGCCCTCCAGGGCCTCCCCCTGGCCAGGGGACTTCTGTCTGGGATTGTGTTACCTGGCCTGAAAAATGTAACGCCTGCCTCCGTGGTCCTCTCGGCTCACCCCTGCCAGGTCCAGCCAGTCAAGGTGGCCCCAGGCACATGTCTCGGGGTTTGGGGTCAGAGGCCTGAGATGAAGAAACTTGGGCTTAGAGAGGTTGAGAAACGTGCCCAGGGCCACACACGGCCTGTAGCAACCGGTTCTGATGTCATTTGAGCTCTTGACGGCCTCGGTGCCTCTGGTCTTCCAGGAGATAAGTTCAGGATTTAGCCCAGGTGTTGGCTGTCTAGGAGGCGCTGGCCAATGGACGCCGTCATAAATTTTACTACTTTTGGGACATTGCGTAACCGTCAAGTGAGTGGCTCCCTTCCAGGGTGGTTTGTGGGAATCCCTCTCGCCCCACCTTCCCTTATCTTTTGGAGAGAGTTTCCACTTTGCCCTCTGTACTGGCCTCCCTAGAATGACAGCTTCTGTGGCGGGCGGAGGGGCTGCTTGGAGCTGAACCCTTGTGGCAGGTGGGTGTGGGAAGCGTGGCTCCTCTTCCCCCAAAGAAGGGGATGTTATTTGTTGCCTTCACCTGGGGCTCAGTTCTCCCATTTCGCTACGGCTGAATGTTCACCCCTGCCCCCCACTGCCCCCCCCAAACAGGCCTCTGTGGACCCAGGGACTGGAGGGGCCCGAACAGGCTTTGCCTGGCAGGGGGACAGGCTGAGAAGCAGCAGCTGCTCCCAGTTGGCCACCACCGTGAACTGGCTGCCTGCGGGCATGGACATTCCAGAAACCACCTGTCCCAGAGATGCCCCCCCAGGCCCCACCCAAGATGGGGTGCCTGGCCATCCCTCCAGGCCTCCCGCCCCAGAACAGCCAGGGTGGGCCCCTCTCCTGCTTCGTCCTCACCCCAGTGACCCCGAGAGGAAGTTCCCAAGGAGACTACGTAGCGAGGAGCACAGTGAGAGCCACGTGGACTTCCAGAGCCGACCTCTGCCTCAGCCCCTCATTCCACAAAGAAGGAAGGGCAGGGGGGTCTCCTTGGGCCCGTAGTCTTCTGTGGCTCCTACTCCTTCCAGCCCCCTCCCTGGGGTTCTCCTTGGGCCCACGCACCCCCGGAGGAGCCGCTGGACTCCTTTATCACAGTGTGAGG